AGGTTTCTTTTGTTTTGTGTCCCCCAGAGCGTGAAAACAAAAGAAACCGACCCCACTAGACCGGGGTCCCTCACTCCATGTAAACAGGCTCTAAGTAACACGCTGTTTTTTTCTAAATAATAATAATAATAATAATAATAAAATTCCACAGACAATGTAATCTCCTCAATTCGAACAATATTACTACTGATGTAAGAAAATCAACATTGTATACCGCTGCGATTTTTAGGATAAAAGTGGCGCTCTTAAGCATGTTTTTCTCTGTCTTAACAATGACATCTTTTTAGACTGACACGCTAAAACAAAAAAAACGAAAAAGAACAAAATGTGCATAACGTTTGAAACAGAGAATAATCGGAGCAAGATAAAAATAATAAATATCCATAAAATGGTTGTGCACACGCGAGAAAAACGGAGCACGTGATTTTACGATTGTTTGATGTATGTGAACAACTTGTTCCAGATCTGTGCTGTTGCCGTTCATACTGTAGTGGATCCGGTATAGTGTAGTGTATCCTCAATCAGTTTCCTTTGTCACCCGTCAGGGCCTGGAGGCAAAAGAGGATCAACCTTGGTTAAGTCAAAATTAATCTGACATCAAATTTGCCTGGTAACATACTTACACAAAATGAAAATAAACATTTCTAAAGTTAAAGTATCAGAAACAATGGAGAATGCCTAATTGCTATGTGCAACTGATGCTATGAACTATCCGGTAGTCCCTTGTTTTACAAAGTCTGCTGAAAGCAACAAACGTTGTGTTTATCTTAAACTATTTTAGAAAAAAAGTGAATGGCAATGAGGAGAAGAGTCATCCAGAGATGGACGAAAGACTCAAGAATATAGAACCAAAAATGGTTGAACTGATAACAAATGAAGTGAGTCATAAGTCTTTAACAATATTCTGCTCATATCTCTTCATATACTAAGTAATGGCATAGCTGCTTGGCATCTAATTAAAGGGGCTATGTAACGAAGATATTGCTGTTTTAGGTTAAAGTCATTACTTAGCGCCTTCTACCCACGCACAAAATGCTCCAGTCCAGTGAAGAAGAAGAAGAAGGTATCAAACAAATTTCATTAGGGAGTATAACCATAATAATTTTGGTCATTTTTGAAGGCACAGCATGAAACCTTTTAAAGGGTGGCCCTAGCTTTTGAAGGTTTCAATCCATGTTCATGCTTGCCATCCGTAGCAACAAACGACAAGGAACAGTTTCAATGTGAACTGTAGTCTTAAAGGCAAGGTTTCACGGTTCAGCGCATGCTCATCAATCAAAATGGTGTTTTTCTGCCTGGGCATGCTGTGTCGTCTATGCGAGCAATATGATAATGTCATAAGGTTGTCAAAGAACCAATTTGCACACTCCCCTGGCGGTCACTTGATCAACTTACGTGCAATAGCTGTAAATTCATCAACCATGGAATAAAGCCTTCGGGTAACGTTGGTAGTTTTGGCATAATCCACTAATTTTTTCTGCGATTTTAGTACTCCTCCATCCTACTTAAGGTTACTCTGAAATACACTTCTACTTTGAAATACACTCTGAGATCGCCGAGATACATGTGAGTGGGATTATTAACCGATAGAATAAATAATAAATTGGAAAAAAGTAATATAATTAATGAGCATGCGCTGAACCGTGAACCTGTACCATTAAGGTGGCTCGACTGGATTTGTTGGGGTTGATACCAACCACGTTTGAGCATTAACTACGTCGGCATGAGTAAAGATGTGGAAAAAAGGTTACCACAACTGTATTATATAAAGATGAAAATTTCTTATGATGTGGGTTTATTGCAATCGCAGTCGCCATGGCAACGTAATGACGCCATTACGTTTTTCATTTATCGTTGTGTTTCTCTGTACCAGGAGTTTTTTGAAGAAATCGCTTAAGGGAGTATGTACCTGCCATAATTGCCTCCATTATGGCAAAGTTTGAGGAAATTCTATGAGAGCGTTTTCGAAATATTTTGAAATGCAGTTTTAAGAACCATCAAAGCAGTGAAATAGCATGCTAGCCGCAAAATTCGCTAATATTTTAAGAAAATGATGAGCTTTGGAATCGCAGCTTCATCTCATAGTGGTTTGATTCCATTGAAAACTGCATACAAAAAAAGAGGGGAATTGCTCTGGGCGATCGCGAGTAAGAAGAATTTTATTAACTTGCATTCAGCTGCTTTTGATACAGTTTTTGGAGTTAATTTGGTTCATGCCTAAAAATTTCGCATTTTGCCAAAAACCGCTCGATAAATTTTGTTATAGATTCGACAATCCCGAGATCAATTGTTAAGAAATATTCTCTGCAAGTTTCAAGAACATTGAAAACAGGGAAGGCTTTTAAATAGGGCCTCTAACATAACCAATTTTTCCCCCAGATTTTGTGTTTACAAGCGAGCGTCCTCATTATTCACTGGCATTGTTTTCAAGTTTCATATGCACGTGCACAACTAGCAAAAGATATAAATTTGCATAAAAAAGAACTCTCGATTACTTTCCGAAGAAATATCCGGAATATGCTAATAATTGGCTTGTCGTCACAGATAGCAGTGAGAGCCGAAACGGTGAACGTCACGGCTCATCGTGTAGGATGCAATACTTGATTATCATCACAGAAGCTCTCACAAAGAGTTGCTCTGATGTTATATAATGTATCACTAATCTCTTTAGCCGTTAATTAGCATATCCCGGAGATTTAACCGAGGGTCCTTTTTGATGCAAATTCTATCTTTTTGCTAAATGTGCACGTGTATATGAAACTTGGAAACAATGCCAGTGAATAATGAGGACACTCGCTTGTAAACACAAAATCTGGGGGAAAATTGGCCATATTTGAGGCCCTATTTAAAAGCCTTCCCTGTTTTCAATGTTCTTAAAACTTCCAGGGAATCATTCTTGACGATTGATCTCGGGATTGTCGAATTTATAACAAAATTTATCGAGCGGTTTTTGGAAAAATGCGAAATTTTTAGGCATGAACCAAATTAACTCCAAAAACTGTATCAAAAGCAGCTGAATGCAAGTTGATAAAATTCTTCTTACTCGCGATCGCCCAGAGCAATTCCCCTCTTTTTTTGTATGCAGTTTTCAATGGAATCAAACCACTATGAGATGAAGCTGCGATTCCAAAGCTCATCATTTTCTTAAAATATTAGCGAATTTTGCGGCTAGCATGCTATTTCACTGCTTTGATGGTTCTTAAAACTGCATTTCAAAATATTTCGAAAACGCTCTCATAGAATTTCCTCAAACTTTGCCATAATGGAGGCAATTATGGCAGGTACATACTCCCTTAAGCGATTTCTTCAAAAATCTCCTGGTACAGAGAAACACAACGATAAATGAAAAACGTAATGGCGTCATTACGTTGCCATGGCGACTCCGATTGCAATAAAACCCAGATAATAAGAAATTTTCGTCTTTATATAATACAGTTGTGGTAATCTTTTTTCCATATCTTTACTTATGCCGACGTAGTTAATGCTCAAACTTGGGAGGTATCCCCCTCAAAAAATCCAGTCGAGCCACCTTAAATAGCAAAGTGAACCATTATTTCTTGAATTCAGATGATGCGAAAACACGTTTAGGCTGTTTCAAAAGGTGGCAAATAGCATGACATGCTAGATATCTAACTGATTCTGGATTTCTTGGGCAATGCAGTTCTATTGTAAATCTTTCTGTTTGGTGAAGTTTTCTGTTTTCTGGTGTACATCAGGCAAGAGTTGGTTTCAAAAGCGCAAAGCGTTTTACTAAGTAAGCGGGAAAGACAAATTTGATTTGATCAACTTAGCAGAAAAAGACAACTTGCCAGGGTAATAAGATTCAAAAGCTGATATAACTAATGCTTGCCTATTGGCTTTGTGAAAGGGCGGGTTAGCGACCGAAACGCGGTCAACTTTCAATTTGATTTGGTTTTCGGCCTCAAATCAGCTGACTGGTCCATATTAGTTTCCTGTTTACCTTAACATATTACTACCGATTGAAGTACCCTCAGTGTCCCCTTTCAGTATTAATATGTCCCATGTTTGTCTCCCACTTTGCTTGACACGATCATAAGAGACGACTTGAGATGATAATTTGCATTGTGTAGCAGTTAGTGAACCTTTTTGTACATTTTGTACTCTTAAGATTATGGATCATGGTCCACCGGTGTCATGGGATGATATTGCAGGACTGGAATTTGCCAAGAGTGTAATCAAAGAGATTGTTGTGTGGCCCATGCTGAGACCGTAAGTCTGGTGATAAATCCATATCATATGTACACGTGATAATAAATTAGCTTGTAGGATTTAAAACCTACTGGAATTGATAGTTGATCTGGAATAAAATTTTGGTTGACAGAGGTGTCTGTCATCTTAACATTCATGTTTCTGTAAATTAAACGAACCTACTGATGTATATTTTTTAAAGTTTGCATAAAGTGTCCCCGTCACATTCGTTAAGTAAATCTTTCGTACCAATCCAATAATTAGATAATTCCTCGCGCTCAGATTTGGTTTCTGATAGTCATTAATCAGACCTCTTCCCCTTTATAAAAAACCCGGTCTATTTTTCAGTGACATCTTCAAAGGCTTGCGAGGACCCCCCAAGGGAGTGCTGTTATTTGGACCGCCAGGAACTGGAAAAACATTAATTGGTAAATACAGAAACTATTCGTGTATAATTTCAAAAAGAATAAAAAAATTTAAGTGATGTGTACAGAACTGTTTTTTTTTTCTGTTTTCACCTGGCAGAAAACAGATGGTTTCGATCACTTGTAATACTTATAAAAAATGGAATATTTATCTTGTCCTGAACATTGGACTCGCGCAACCTTGTTTTTTAGTAATGACCAATAATATCGATGAGGACGTGGTCAGGCGGGAGATTAGGGCGTGAAGTCGATAGTAAAGTGGGACCGTTTTTAACTCCTCCTTTTCGGTTGTATCAATTTTTAAAATCATAGATACTGCTTTCCTGTTTTTCTCTCGATAATTTGTTTTTCGGTTTGCTTGTTTTGGCTTTGTTAAAGATCAATCCTAGTTTGTAAAGGGGAAAGGAAATAGCAATTGTCTCATCATTTATTATGACACCGGCAGTGTCTTTCACTGGTCCTTGAATTCTATATTAAAGAAAATCGAAATATAATATCTTTCCAAAGTAACACTCCCTGTTTCGATTGGGATAAAATCTTTGTTAACTTCTCTAAAGTAATCGTCTTAATCTTAAGTCCTTAAAAAATTATACACCATTAAATAATGATAAGCGAACGTGTTGATTTAGGCAAGTGCATAGCCAGTCAATCCAAGGCCACATTCTTCAGTATCAGCGCGTCATCTCTTACATCTAAGTGGGTAAGTGTATACTAATAATGTCGCAAATGAGAGAACAACCCTACAGTACCTGTCCTCTTTACGTACAGAATGTGATGAACAGTAAGTTCGGACGTCAGCAAACAATGGCGCGCCACTGCCCTTATCGGTCCATTTATGAGCTTACTATATGAAATGTGTGACAAGTGAAGTAATAACAGAGGTAGTGGTTGATCACTTGCGCCACCAGGAAAACTTCCCCTACTTTTTTAAACAGTAGTGTGGTTCTCTTACGTCCCCTTCGAGTTCCGTGATAAAGGAGACTATGCCAACACCTAATGAAGTGATGTGGACTGGGTGATGTTATACATAGCCAGCATGATCTTAGCAGTTTTTCAAAGACCACGGTTGTTGGACTGGACTGGCCTGTGTTTGAACCCGGATCTGCCGCTCCGCAGACTGCTGCTATTTTAACTGAGCTATCTGGGCGACATTATCTCGTGTAGGCTTTTCCTGACGCTTTTGCATACACGATCTATTTATTTTGTGTCTGTATTATAGGTAGGGGAAGGTGAAAAGATGGTTCGTGCGTTGTTTGCTGTTGCCAGATGTCATCTGCCTGCTGTTATTTTTATTGATGAGATAGATTCACTGCTATCTCAGAGAACTGATGGAGAGCATGATGCCTCAAGAAGGATAAAAACTGAATTCCTTGTTCAACTGGCAAGTGTTATGCGCAGTAAAGTGTTGACAACAGTGATTGTTTATGTATAAAAGCTTTCATATTATGATAAAATAGCTTATCTCTGCACTTTTGTATTAGTGTGCAAAAATAATAACCTTCATGGTGAACATTCTTTACCGAAAACGATTTTTCTTGAAATTTCCCATAACTTCAAGGAATATACTGCAAAATCTTGTTGCGTATTTTACCACGCCCTTAACAACATTAAGGTCAGAGCTTGTAGACGTTCACTTTTTTCTTCGCAATGTGTAACAGTGACCTTTTTTCTTTCTTTTATTTCAGGATGGCGCAACAACAAATTCTGATGACAGGCTTCTTGTTGTTGGTGCGACAAACAGGTACTTTCACTAATGTCAGGACTGAATACACGCAATGGTGAATTTGGTGATATTTTGCTATTCTCTCTCGGTAATGAGCAAATTTGCCATTTTACTAAATTAGCATTCTCCTTCAGACTCTTCGATTTTTGCCAATAGAGGGCTTTTAAGCTGAGTTTATTCCTGGCAAATATGCTAAATAAAAGGATAACAAGCTCGTCGTTTGTGATATATTTGGCGGGATTCTTTCAAATTCGTCACCTTCTCTTTCAATATTTGCAGCACAAAGACACTAATCATTTTCTATTGTATAATCTTGGTATACCATTATGAATGAAAGTACCTTACCTCGTGTTGAAAAGAGGAAAGTGTTACACAGATTTAACGCGTCGTTTTTCATTTGATGGATAAGTTGGACGTTGTTTCCTGTTCTGCCAAATTTCTATTTAAGTAGCTTTATGAAAGCTCTTTTATTGACGTTTTCTATTTACGCCAATAGGCTTGTCTTTTATGTGGCAAATCAATTCAGTGGTTGAACTGACTGGTGTCTACATTTTATTGATAGGCCTCAAGAGATAGATGAAGCTGCAAGACGTCGCTTAGTAAAAAGATTGTACATTCCCTTGCCTGATCCTGGCGCTCGGCAGCAAATCATGCACAATTTGTTATCACAACAGAGTTACAGTCTCTCTGAACAGGAGATCAAGAAGATTGTTCAACAAACACATGGTAAGAGTAACAAAAAAAAAGAACAGCAAGTGAAAAGTCTGTATTATAGGTCTTGTAGGTCAGGAGAAGATTTGTCCTTTTCAGCCGTTTCCTTTTGGTAGAGTTGCGCTAAAAAGCAAGTGAAAAGTCTGAAATATAGGTCAGAAAGAGATTCGTGGTTTTCATTTAACTATACCTTTATCGTCCATTTTTATTCCTTTTGGTAGAGCTGGCCCACTCAAGTCTCGAGGTGAGAACTTGCCCCTTTGACTGATTGAAAAGGAGCAGACAGAGGAGGGTTGTATTTACATATGGGTTCATTAGTGTGTTCTTATAGCGACGGTTTTTTCACTCAGTTCCTCTTTCTCTGCAGGTTATTCAGGCTCAGACATGGCTAACCTTTGTCGCGAGGCGGCTCTCGGACCGATAAGAAACATTGCCGATATTCAGTGTATTGAAGCTGATCAGGTGCCGTGTTACTTTCTTGCTTGGATCTTGCGTTGTTTTATAGACTACTTTTCTATGTGGTTAGGGACTGGTCAAAAGTATTAGGGGGGTTGGGCCGGAGCATTTGGAAATGTGGTTGATAAAAAACACAGGGCCCACCCCCTCTCTTCGGCACAAAAATGACTGGCCCACCCCTAAAGCAAGGTTGGAAATTGCATGACCCACCCCCTAGTTAAAACGTGGATGTTTGGTTTCCTCTTAATAATCCAATAAAACCTTGTTCTGTACTTGACAAAATTTGTTAATACGCTGCTACAACCAATATCAAAATCACAGAAATCATGCCTTTCACTGAAATGACAAATGTGAAAAACCGAACATTTCTTGTTTCGATGGATTTTATGAGTCTTGACACAAATATACAGCAAAACGAGGGTATATTGAAATTTTCTGTCACAAAGCATATGGAAATTTCTACAAAGACAACCCCTTCCCACACATTACTTGCCGGAAATGCTTAGATTAATCCTCAAAAAAATTTCTTCCACTTCAATGCAAAGCACTACCTACAAAACCGTGGAACTGCAATGGCCACAAAGACAGCAGTTTTGATTCCTTTGCCAATATTTTCATGACATATATTGAAACAACAACTCTAAGCAAAACTGTCTTCCTGTCTATGGGACATGAATAAACCAGACATCGAAGCCCTCATTGAACAAGCAAACTTACATCACCCAATTATTGAATTCACGGCCGAAACATTTGACACTGAGACTGCGTTTTTAGACACGGTTGTACACAAAGGCACAGTATTCAAGGAAAATCTATCCTTGATGCAGAGAACATTTTAAACAATCGGAAACCTTCTTGCACACACATTTCACCTCGTGTCACCCTCCAAATGTTAAAAAAGGATTTGTCAAGGAGAAGCCTTGAGAATCCTACGAAAAAACTCCTCAGAAATAACCTTTGAGGGAAATAATTCACATTTTCAAAAAACGCTTGATGGACAGAGGGTACCCATAATCTTTGATGGAAAACCTTCAATAAATAAAATTCACAAAAGGGAGTCTAAACTCCTAAAACAAAACAACAAGGAGGAAAAAGAAATATTTCCATTCGTGACACAATACCAACCCTCTATGTCTACTGTAAAGAAGGCTTGAATGGAAAAATGGAATCTTATACAAAACCAACTATAACCTTTTAAAGAACCATCAATAATTTCCTTACAAAAATGGAAAATCATTAACGGACATGCTCGTTAGAGCCCAAAAAAAGGTTAACAGAGGGTTCCACGCCCGTATAGATGTGCGCCTGTCACCCTTTGTATTTTCTCGCACGACAGGTTTATGAGTATTTTAGCAATAATTTCAGCTGGCTGTCTTTTATATAACAAGTGTAGTCATCTGTCTCGTTAGTAGTTAGTGCCTATCTATGTAATAAAATAGGGTGACCCAGCCCCTAAAGGTAGCTGAAAATGGCACGACCCACCCCTTGCAGGTAGCCTGAAATTCATCCGATTGCTTCGAGTCGTTTTCTCCTCTCAACAACGTCTGAATCGACGGGCCGTTAATGCCGTCCAGTGACGTCACTCACTACCCGAAAACTGGGTAGTGATTTTGATTGGTTGACTGTCTAAACTTTCGCGCATAATTATGTATAATTATGAAAAATTTTAGCGGGATTGTCGCTTGATATTCAGCGGATCGCATCCCTGGCATTCTTTCGTGTAGTTCAAACATTTCGATAAGCTTAATCTTAAACAGCAAGATTGCCCTTGTCTTCGAAACTGAAATGCTAAATTGAACTGCGAATGAAGAATCATTGCGGAGAGTCGGGAGGTTTTTCATTTAGAGCCGCTTTGTGGTTTCGGCGGCCGGTGATTTTGTTTACGCGAAGTTTTCTGAGATCAATGTTGTAATTCGACCTTCTTGCTATTTTCACCGTCAAGTGTAATGATTCTGTTAGCTTTTTTCTCTTGTTTCCTTGTTTTTTTTTCTTCGTTAAGGACCAAATAGCTTCTTTTCAATTAAAGCAAATCATTGTGTTTTTAAATAAGTGTTTCATGTGTGTGTTTATTTCGTGATTGTGACCGAGTTTGATTATAGAATTCAGTACAACTGGTTCAGAGTTGTACTGCACGCAGTTGATAGTTTGAACGTTAAACATGAACTACGATCGAAAAAAATAAAGCAATTCTGTATCATGCAGACATTTCCACACGATATTTCTCGGTTTGCTACTTGAAAATCGTGTTTTACTTTTTGCATGAATTAAAGCAAAGATCAAGGAGTAGTGACGTCACTGGACGGCATTTACGGCTGGTCGATTCAGACGTTACTGAGGGAGTAATAACGACTCGAAGTAATCGGATGAAATTCAGGCTACCCTTGCACTAGGCTCTCTGCTCCGGCCCCCCCCCCCTATACTTTCCGACCAGTCCCTTATAATTTTGTTATATTTTTCACTCTCCCTCGAATACGTTTTGTAACCAACCGCCAATCATCATTAAAGAACTAAAGGCGCGAGTGGAGGCTGCGGTCATATTCTCGCCAACACTTTGTGGGTGGTTGGCGACGACCTGAAAATCTGACACTTAAAAAACGTCTTTCACTTTATGGGCACGTTTTGTGGTCCATATTTTCAACATTCTGTAAACGTTTTGGGGCTTCTTTTCTTTTCGGAAGAAATGTTTAGTCAGTCTTGACTCTGTTGTGATTTGTGTTGTACTTAGATTGTTACCTCTGCGTCCTGCGTCCCTGACGCATAAAAATCCCCAAAGACGCAAAATAATTCATGGCATGCGTCCCCTAGGACGCAAAGATCGATCGATCGACCTGAGCGTGTGTGTTTGTAGGAAGATCTCGTTCGTATAATTTCTGTGGCAGTTATTATGGCTGTTGTTTAAGTAATGGTCCAGATAAGAAGGAAAGGACCAAAACGCAGTGAACACGTCGGAATGCAAAAAGGTGCTAACTTTACTATTGTCCCTACTAAGGTTCTGATTGGTTTAAACATCAAATTTTACGAAATCTTCGCAAAGCAGCATGTACATCAATCCTTTTTTTCTATCCAACTTCCTTATAACAAAATCTCGTCTGAGTCTAAGTAACACAGAAATCGTATGTGCGGATCATGTAAAATTGAAAACATTTCTTGGCCATTGTTTGCAACTCTTGTGATTGGTCGAAATGTTTTAACACAAAAATACACCCTTTAAAAGTGGAGTTTAAATACATTTTCTTTCGTAAACAGCCTTTTTGTAGATTTATGCACTCTCTGCGTAAAAATGAAAACATTTCTATGTGAGGAAAGCGTATTGCGCCACAACAATAGAAATTGCTTTCCTTCTTACCTGGATCATTACTTAACGATGTACATATATTTCTTTAAGCCTTTTTGTGCGTTAAATAGTGGTACTATATTTTAATTTCAGCATACTGTAAAATAGAGTTTTGGGTCTGTCTTCTGCTTAACTGTATGGTTACGTAAAGTCCCAAGTATTTTCAATTTCGGACTCGTTTTTTTTTTCTTTTAACTGGAACTCGTTGGTTCTGGACTGGGACTAATGATTTTCACAAGATGAGTACCAGGACTCATCATAACTATTTGTAACAAAATCACCGCTTAGTTGCCTTGTTTCCTATTTAAAGTTACTGTCCAGATAAGGAGAAAAGCAACAACAACAAGAAACAGTTTCATGTCGGAAGGTTGGAAAGGTACTCATTACTGCAGGGGGAAGCAGGGTGGGAGGGTGGTAAGGGCGTCCTGCGGTCCCGGGTTCATGTCCTGACGCTGACCACCAACTGGCTTGGTTTGTTACTCCGTGGTACCGAATTCAAATCCTCGATCATGCTTGTAAATAAACAACTGGTTACCTAGTGCCTGCTTGGGTCTTTAATCCTATTATGTTCTATTTACATTATTTGTTTTTAATTATTTGTGTGGAGTGTCTGTAACGTAGCTAGAACTGAGCTTATTGGACCTTTACTCTTTTTGCAAGAATCTTGCATATTTATGTTCAGTTAATCTCTAGTGAAAACGAAACCATTCGGGTTTGAGTAGAGCTTATTACTCTGCCTTCAATACCTGGATAATTACTGTATAGAGGATGGTTGTCTATCCACACCTTTCGGCTTCCTTCTCAGAGAATAGACTTACGAAATAGTTGGTGTGCCTCTTATATCCTAGGCCCAATTAACAACCTTTCCTATATTTATTAAAGATATATCCGAACGGGCGTTTTAAAACAACATGCTTTTGAGAAAATACTTATGATGCGTATTTATAACTTAAGATAGCGCCTTGGATCCGACCGCTAACCCTGGTTTTAATAAACCATTATTGTTTTACGTGATTAGGCCAGCGGCGGGAATGGTAATTAGTCTGACCCCGTTTTTTTTTTTTTTTTTTTTTTTCAGGTTCCACCCATTGTTTTCAGGGATTTCGATGCGGCGTTACACCAAGTACGTGCCAGTGTGTCTGAGAAAGACCTTGATTTGTACCTACAATGGAATAAACTTTATGGCAGTGGGACAAAGTAACCTTCTATTCTAGAGGTCAGTAAAGCATGCACTGTTTAATGTCATCAAACAAAATCATTACCTTCATGATTCTGGAACTTTATTTTTAATCAGCAACTCATTGCCAGAGTTTAGTTATTTGATATGTATAAATATACATTAATTTAAGAATTACCGAATAGCTCGCTAGAAACCGGCTTTTTTATGTACACTTCTTCTTGCTAATTATAAGGCTCGTCAGTCGGTCGTAGCTTGAGCCCAAAAGACGTTAATCAAGGAATCGTTCACCTTTTTAAGCCTTTTAACGCCAGTTTATGAACATGAATCATGTTAACAATTTTCCTACGTTATACAAGCTATCAGCTTGTATAAGCTAACTTTTTATTTGACTAGTTCATCTTTTTATGCCATTGATTTTTCTAGCACCTGCTCGATCCACTTGCGGAACACGCTCACCCGAGTGAACACGGTATAATGATTGCTTGATGAACAGTCCGGGTCTCCCCAGCTAACAATTCCATGTACTACCCACTGACCAGCGGTGTTCTTACATTGAAAAGGCCCGCCGCTATCTCCAAAGCATCCACTGGTTTTAGTTCTGCCCGCGTCTCCAGCGCATAGCATTTTGCTAGTGACTATCCAGGTTCGATTATCCGTATGCAGTCCGCCGTTTGGTGAAGTGTCCAGTTTAGCTGCGCATGCGCTGTTGGAGACGACGGGCATCCGAGCTTGTTGCAGGACTGGAGCGGATTTTCCTTCACCAAACATTTGTCCCCAACCTAATGCAAATAGAAAACTATATATATTAATGCAGTCGTATTTTCCAGTTTTTCTGGTTATATAATACTTTTCTGGAATTTCCATCTCGACTCAGTGTGGATGTTGTTTGATGTATTATTAATGCAGAATGCATAGACTTAGTAACAGCCAGGTCCATCTGTAAATATTATGTAAAATGATAACAAAGCAGCTTAGTTTTTATTTTATATTCATTGCACTAACGATACACTATCCCAAATCATTGTCGTGATCTTCGTTGAGCTGCTAGATTCAGGAAAATATCAGTACATGATCAGCAAAAAGTTGTTATTTTAAACGTTTTTCTCTTTGTAACGATTAAGTCTACAATATTCGGATGTGATATAACACTTTAAACCTGTGATATAACATTCATCCCCGGGAGGTACATCTTGGAGAAATCCGGGTAAACAAGCTGTATTTACAGCATCGCTTGGTTTGGCAGGCTCAGACAGATGAAATAATGCAATATCATTCTCATATGGGACTGGGTGGGAGAATAGAGGTTGTTTAATGATGCTCTTGACTTTAAACTCTTGTTCCAGACCCTCCTTCTTGTATCGGTCCACATCACCAATCACCACCTTGAATTTGCTGGTATCGTCATCTAACACACAGTGAGCAGCGGTCATTACCCATTCTGACGCCACCAGTGTACCTCCGCACAAGTGATTGTTGTTGAATTGTAATCGAGCTTGCCATGGCCATTCTCCTAGAGTTGCATCGGCTCCATTCACCACACGTGAAGAGGAAGTCGAACTGTAACCACAGCTTGCTGTGTGAAACAAGCAGGGACAAACAGTAAATGCTTCTGAAGAAGGATCACCTTCAGCAATTTTTGGTCAAACATTGATTTCTAGTTATTTAGTACTTATGATCATAATGATCGACATTTTATCTTTAGAGACCTAGAACCAAACGTTTCTCAGGACTATACTTAACTGAAACGGCGAATATATAATTTCAAGAACATCGCGTCTCAGGAACATTAGCGGTATTTCTATTCTGGGAAGTAAGTAAACTGACCAAACTGACGCCCGCTAGCCCGACAATGGATGATGATCTCTTTACCTTGGTTTAGGGTTGCTGCTGGTAGTGATATTATATCCCTGATGGGTCCAATTGGGGGTGGCATATGATATTCCGTATTTCCTAAATTTTTGTTCTCCTGTGTGCCTAAAAAGATAATAAATTACAAATACTCATTTTGTTCAGTATCAGTAGTATGGTAATGCCACGGCATCGGTGCTATGCTTTTCAATACATTGAAAATGTCTCACTGTAGTGCCGAATAATTAGCAGTTATTAGATTCGCCTTACGTACAATCTGAAAAATTATTTCCGACGGATCTCGGAGTTGCTACGGTGACCTTTACTTACTGCGTCGTGTAGAAGATCAGTTTTTTCCCTTGACTGGATACTTGTTTCGTGTAAATATCATTGCAGTAACTAATACAGAACAGTATGAGTGGTTGTCCTTGAAAAAAACTGGAAGATTCCAGCGGCTGTCATGGAGTCTTGGCCGCCAGTGGCTTAACTAGTTTCCTATCGTGTCGAAATTATTACATAACGTGAGTAAATTCTGATTTACCCCGATTTTGCCTTGATCCTTCCGCTCTCTTCTCTCCAGCTCCTTAAGAAAAACAAAAACTTCTTTAGAAAATAACCTACGAGGGTCGGCATTGATTCCACAAATAACATGTAGAGGTCTGTCAGAAAGACTTTTTTCTCTTATTAATCTGCTCTTAAAACTAAGGTGAGGAATAAACACCTCTCATAATTTTTTTTTACATCGCAGGTGTTCGAAAGGGAAGGGTAAAGCGAGTCGGTAGCCCCAATCTCTTGTCCCCCTTTTGGGGACGTCTGCCACGTAGTTCGTTATTCATAGTTCAGTAACTAGTATAATCTGTCAGAGATGAAGGTTTACCACGTAACTCTACCACAGCTGGTTCAATGTCCTCGGTGAAGTCGGGCGGTTCCTCTGGGGGGAGGTGACCACGGCTAATGATGTGATGCCGGGCTAGAAAATAAGGAGAATCAGATAACAGTTACTGTGTTAAGCCAGTCTAATGTGGCTGGCTCTGAGGCGTGACACCGCGATCACATTTTCGCTTTTGCAATTTAAACGTAGCCGAGATGGTTGAAGAAAAGAAATTGAAAAGCGATGACTGTCAAATGTAGCGATCGTGAAAATTGTCAGTTTTCCAGAGTTTCATCCCTAATTCTTATTAAGTTTCGTATACTTTAAACATCCCCAAAAAAATAAACCTCTCAGTGAAATGAGAAGCTCTCAAAACGAAAAAAGTCTCCATAAGCAGCCGGATTTGCTACTTGACCGTATGAGACCTGAATACCGGGCATGAGCTTGTGTTAGAGACATTAGGATGCTACAAATTTCTATGAATTAATATCCAAATATTATGACTTGCATAAAATACTAACCGTTGACAAAAAATTTACATCTTCTAGGGAACCTCTCTAAGTTGAAGATTGAAAAATTGTTTGAAGGGGAAAAGGAGACCCCTGAACTTTGGGCCCTTTCAGAGTGTACAATATTTTCGTTTCCGTAGTCAGGTTTTTTTTTTCACAGCAACTAACAAAATCGTCCCTATATCTAGCAAAATCCGAGTTGTTTTTGTTCGCTGCCATGCGGAGAATTAGCCATCATACTTGGCTTGATTAAAAGCCTGCCACTACTCAGTTAATAACTAGCGTTCGCGAGAGCATTCAAATACTTGATCGGACTAAAAACTTGACTTCTTGTGTGTGATATAAAATTGCTTAGTGTTTCCTATGAAGAAAACAAGCAATTGGTTAGCCTGGATTGTGGCAAATGCTGAGAAAAGAGCTAGTAAATTCCCTAAAATTTGTTGGTTAGCCTGGATTGTGGCAAATGCTGAGAAAAGAGCTAGTAAATTCCCTAAAATTTGTTTCCCCTGATATGTACTCAGTAGCTGAAAAATTTCACAAGACCAGCGACGGAGGAGGGTCAGTCGAAATATCTATTACACAGTTGTCCTTACAGCTATATAAAAGAATTTTTGAGATATATATTCAGGGCATTTAACCAGCAGGTTTAGGAATGAGTTTCACGAGTAGCCTTACAAAAGTTGATAAATATATAAAAAAAAATGAAAAATAAGTAGGTTTCTAATTTAGGTGCTAAAGGAAATCAAATGCACAATAATAAAATACATTCGGTAAAAACCTACTTCGAAATATAATAGCAGAATTCTACACATGACAAAAAAAGGCGCCGAGAGTACACCGAAAAACCAATGCAGAGCACTGGATATGTATGTAGAGCAACCTGTAAAACCTTCCGTGAAAAGTGCGTTGTAAGTTTACGGCGTCGCTTTCGAACTATAAGAAACTATAGGCTTTGTGTGTTTTGATAAATATCAATCCATGTTACCTTCAATTATCCTTAAAAAAGCCGTGAAACTGATCACACTGATGATCAGTCTGGCATAAGCTTTGGAGTAGTTTGGTGAATTTATCATCGCAAGTCCCTGAGACCAAACATCGAACGCTTTGTCCTCGAGGCTTTTTTTTCACTGCTTGCTTTGATGAATATATAATATAGGGTTTATATATATAATTGTTTCAGACTGATCAATTCATCACAAGAGAGTCCTTTATCTATAAACAACAAACCAGATGGCCGTAAAATTGTCATTTCCATATCAGTCGGCTATCTTCTTTCAACCTTATGGCTAAATTTTTTCTTTTTTGCTTCTATGGTTTAGGTTGCTGTTAGATCATCATTGCTGTTTTATGTAAAACCCAGTGAGATAAGAATTGTCAGCCATACAGTTTTTTGCACAAGAGGTAAAAACAACGCGACGTAGTTCTCGGCAGATGGTTTAATGGTTTTATTAAAGAAGCAATTTCGTGTTCAAAGTTTAAGGCTTGACTTCACGATACTTGAATCCAAAAAAGTTATATCAGAATCAGCGATATTGGGAGCTCAGAAGCACGCATAATAAATTGTGAAAAAAAAGTGCTGGATTTTTTTTACATGATAGGAAGCTTTTTGATCCGTCTACCTGTCAAACTAACGAACGCTTTTTGTCCGGTGAAATATAATGAACTTCCTTTGCTTCTTAGTAATAAAACATATTTCTCCTGATGGCTTTCTTCATTTTATGTCCATCATTTTACCACTATGGCATTAATATCATCAGACTAATAAATCGAATATTTTGCCCTATTGGTGAATACGACAAAACTTGACAGTTATAAATCCTCATCCTTTATCATCCTAAGCTTTTGCTGTGTTTCACCTTAAATTAAGTGAGATATACTTTTATGTCGTGGTTAAAACCTTGAAAAAATCGCCAAAGGCTGAAAACTAAAAAAAATTGGCTTCTGTTGATCACTATCAGCCAGTTTTTCTCATGTTTACAAATTTCGCATTTTTTCCCTTCCGGCACTCCTAACGCAGTTGTCTTCGTTTTGCATACATGAAACATAAATGGAACATGTACAAACACTAGTGCGGATCCATTACGACGCGACAGGTTTATTTAGTTTTAATGATTTAATGCATCATGAGAGGGACAGCTGGTACAGAACCACGAGGTGAAATACATTGCCAACAATAGACAACCCTCAGGCGCCTAAGCCAAATCTAAAGCTTTCAAGACCGTGTTAGTCCCGCCGGCAGTATCGCCTTTTCGTTCAATGAAGCCTTTTGCCTTGTCAGATGTATGTCGGCCGTGTAGACAATTTAGAACTCAAGAGAGAGAACTTGTTTAATGCATTCTTTAAATATTTTATAACACTCTTGGATCTTAATGCTATATTTTAATACAGATTTTATGATGATCGCAGCTCGTTTGCAAATCTCTTTTCACTCGTTTATGATTTCATCGATCCATTGTCGGAGGGCACTGACTCGAGCAAACACACTGTAGTGATTGGCAGAGGAGCACGAAGGATCACCCCAACTGACGATACCCTGCTGTATCCACTGGTCAGCGGAGTTTTGACAAACAAAGGGTCCTCCACTGTCACCAAAGCAGCCACTCTTAATAGTCTTCCCAGCATCCCCTGCACATACCATGGCGGAAGTAACAGCAGTTGAAGCGTTAATGGCTGAGTTCATGTGCATGGTCTGGCACACACGGTTGGATACCACACGCATTGAAGCTTGCTGCAGCTTTGTAGCAGCAGAACCAGGATGATCCATCTGTCCCCAACCTATAAACAGAATAAAGCGCCGAGAATTTCATTTAATTTCAGCGACCTGTTTAAGGACCCCAATCCAATGGGAAGGGAAGGGAGGGAGTAAATATATCCATCAGACCATATATTAATGATTTTTTTGTTTCCATTATTATAAACTTTCTTCCCTGTGACAAGTCGCATGAAGTCATCGTGTAGGATATTACGCTTAGAAATGACTAGTTGTGTTGCACTTGCCTCTGAACCATGGAATACCTGGCTTGTTTAAATTGAGGACTGAACAAGCGGCGAGCAATAATGACAGCCTTGACAGGAAAGTCGACGAAAAATTTTTGTATGGCAAAAATTATTTCCTCAGTTTGATTCAATAAACAACTTACATCAAAAATTGAGAGACGTAGCGATACTGTTTCAATCCATCAGTCCCTACGTGATTAAAAGTTAGGCCGGCATCCTGGATAAGGTCTGTTGAATGTGGAACGGCGAAAAAGGGTGGAAAACAACTTTTATAACAGCGTGCAACAAACCGACAAACCAGCGTGCAACAAACCAACCCCCAAAGCCAAACCCTTTGGCTTCTTGAAAACATCCCTGGCGTTATTTTAAAAGTGGATCGTTCACCGGCGAAAGTGAGTCAGTCAGTCAATTTTTTCCAAAGAGTTTTAAATAATAAATGAATAAATTTTACCCGAAATGAAGCACTTGGTCCCAGCTGGTACCACCTCAGAGTAACGTGGTAAACAAACGGTGTTCACAAAAGAGGTTAGAGTGGCTGGCCTTGTCAGCTGTAACAAAGCTATGTCATTATTGATAGGAACTGGCCAGTTGTACTTAGGATGCACCGCTACACGTTTGACATTAAAGTTTTGCTCAGTACCGTCAGGTTGTTCCCTGTTGAGATCACCAAGCGTCACACCATAAGCAGTGGGATCATTACTTGAGATGCAGTGTGCAGCAGTCATCACCCAGTCACGTGTGATAAGAGAGCCACCGCAAGTGAACCCTGTACCCCTGGTAACCAGTTTTGCTTGCCAAGGCCATTCCCCTGCAGTAGCGTCCTTTCCACCAATCACCCTGCCCCCTGCTGCGGTGACCTGGCCACACGTTGCTGTGAGCAGATAAAATGCTGAGAAAGCTTGCTAATTTTTGAGGGAGTATAGAGAATATTGAACTGTATCATAATATCATTTTACTCTGGAACTGAAGTGAAAACTTCAGTATTGATAATTAAGTAAATACTGAATGGAAGGGAACAAACTGAGCAGAAGAACTTTATTTAAAATGCCTTATTAAACACGAAACAAACTTTTTATTGAAAACGCATTTAAAATTTTCCACTTACGCGAATTAATGGAATTGGTCTCGCTGTCTTCAACGGTATTATCTTCAAATGAAGAACCTTCATTGTGAACAGAAGAAAATAATGAGCATCTATTTCACATGCACAGCTTATATCTCTTAACTAAAACAATCAGATGAGCTGAAAATATTCTTGACTTTAGTGGCGTGTGACACGCAGGAGAACGTAGGGACTAAACTGCGACATAGAATGAAAATGATGTGAAATGCGGAGACACAAATGTAAACGAAGATATGACCGTCGCAGTTGTTATCTCAACTTATGCAATTGCAGCTCATATTAATCCGAAAAAATTTCGAGGCTTCAATATGATGGTACTCTTAGCGGCCTTTGCGTTAGCACTGCAATGCTCTACCAACTGAGCTATAAAAACTCATCATCTTCATTTCTTCATTCTGTTTATTCCTTTTCCAGGTTAAGAAGACTATAACCTGCGATCAGGTGCTCGTGCTTTCCCTTTTTTTTTCAACAAATTGGCCTGTTCCAAATTTATAAGTCTTCAAGGCATAGCTACTTGACCACTGCAGCCTCAGTTAACGCAGAGGCCATGCGCTCTGTCAAATCCCGTTGAAGCCCTAAAAATTTTCGCGCTGAGTTAGTAATTGCTTAATGATTTCAACTAAGACGCTCATGTCTTCATTTAGATTTGCCCGAAATGTGACTGTTGATTCCCTGATTCCCTATTATGCGAAGGTGTTTTACAAGTTTGAACTAAATTCAAAATTGAGGATTTTAAAAAGTTAAAAACTATCCTTATTTTGTCATAAAAAACAAACTGTCCGCCTTAAAGCTTCCCTGACTACTGATTCGTGATCATAATAAGCATAATAGCGCTTTTGGTCTCTAAAACGTCCGGCATCGTTGACGGTTCCAGCTTTGCCATAATGTAGGTTAACTGTACAGTGAACAAAGTTTCAGTTCACATGGAAAATTGTTTACTCAACAACAAGAAAGTCAAACATGTACACGCTAATTACAAATGAGTTAAGCCGAAAAGCACTCGTGAAATCTCTCGCGGTTTTTATAGTAGCAGCCTGTCGCACGACATCACTGTTGATCGATTACAAGAAAAGCTCGCGCTCGTACTTTCGAAAAACCCGCTTACCTTGTTCCGCAGACCGAATCCGACTAGATTCCCCACAACTGAAAGTTGAATAATAGACCACCAAAAGCAATAAAAATGATTTTAACAACACCATCATGCACGGCTGATAAAGCAAGCAAACTGTAGTGTACCACAGCTGCCGTCCGAGCTGCGGGCTTCTTTGTTTTATACTTAATGCTTTATGTATATTTTGAGTGATACAAGCCGACAGGGCTGGCGCCAACACAACATTTTAAATGGAGATTTTCCGTTTGTTAACTCATTTAATCAGTTAAGAGGTGCAGGTGTGTTTTAGGGATGAACTTCAGCTTAGAAAGTCTTGTGAAATGTGAGTTTTTCTGAATAATTTAAAAATAATCTAATAAATAAAACAGAAAATGCAACGAATAAGAACGAAGGTGAGATACAAGCTCTCTTTTGCTTTTAGGAGAGCTGATAATGAGACAGCTCGTATATTAAAGAACGACAAAGTACTCACAACTGAGGGTTGTCACGCTATTATGAAGTTCCCATTTACTTTAGTAGTGTGTTCTCGTTGAGGAACTTTATATCAGCTGTACATACATACAAGTTTTAGCTCCCCACATATGACCGAAATTAAGAGACAAACACCCCGGGGGGGGGGGGGACAAGGACGGAGTACACATTGAATTCTGCAAAACTGATCGTACTACTTGAAAATTAACTTTGCAAGACATCAACACGACATCGAAAGAACCCAAAACAGAGCGGGGCTGTATGGTAATAATAATAATAATAATAATAATAATAAGCTGTTCATTAATCACCATTGCAGTTAAAAAAAACTGAATTACAGTGATAAAATACAAGCTTCAAAGATTTACACTATTCAACAACGCTATACAATTACATGTATACTACTACTTTTAGCATTTATACACAGTACGCTTGATTGAAGGTAATAAATGAGCCAGAACGCTTCGTACGGCACATGTTCCTGTTGTTACATGCAAGTTGGTTGATTACTGATCGTCTTTGTCCTGAGGTTGTAGTCATGAGTGTGACCGCTGCTACTAGGTGGTGAAAAGTGATTTGGGTGACTAATATGCATGATTGTGTAACTTTTGTATGTATTTCACGCATAATTGACTCCTCCTCATTGCGAGGCTTATAGTTTGGGCCGAACTAAGGGCGTCCGCATAGCTAAGGGTCGGATATATAATAGACAGGGCCCTAATGTTACGGCGTAACACGGGAGACTACATGGTTCTGCACCAATACGACTCACCTCCTCTCTCAGTTTGTATCTGGACTGTTTATGCAATAATTTTTCAACGCAAACTAGGAATTCCAAAGAAGACGTCAAGGCGACGGGCGCTTCCCATTTGGTCAAAATTTTTCGGAAATTTCGGTTCGGCAGTAAATGGAGAAAGTTTTGTCGCTTTATCCCCCTGAAAAATTCCCGGAAAAAGTGGAAAATCTGAAAAGGTAGGCCCGTTTTCCCGGTTGGAACGTTCCGAACGGAATTTCATGTTCCATTTTCAATTGTTACCAACTCGGCAGCCATCTTGGTGTCCCATCGGGTAACGGGCTCGGCTCCGTTCCGGGGTTTACGATCAAACAGAACAACTTTTTACCTATCGGAAAATCCATTTTTGTTCCCTGCACCGAAATTTCCGAATTTTTTCTCTAAATGGAAAGCATCCAACATTTTACCATCAAAACTCCATGTAGGTTTTTTCAAAATAATAAAGAACAACAGCGAATACAACGATGTAAAAAGTGATTTTTTTGCAATTAGAAATGATAGTCAATTTAAGCTGATTTAGCACTGTGCCGAACACATTGTAAAATACTCTAGTCATCTGATTATCCTAGAATCGATGTTTTGGATAAGAAATCAACTTAAAAGGATATACGGAAAACGTAAACCCACATAAAAGTTGATTGTAAAAGCTTTAAGAGCTTTACTGCAAATTATACAAACTCTAAGCAACTAAAAAATTAAGAATTTCAATAATTTTGTACTAAATTTTCAGTTCAATACTCATGAAACTAAGCAAACACCTTCTCAAAACACAGAGATAAAAATAATGTCAAATATAACAATACCGTTTCAAAAAATATGTATTATTTACAAAATATACGTATTTGTATCCAAGATCTTTACTAAGATTCTGCAGTGATTAACATTTCTAGACACACGCGAAAAAAAAATAACCATGAAGAATTGTTTGTGTTGATACTGTATTACATTTTAGCTAACTGATTGTATCTTTAGGCATTTGAGGAAAAAGGTTAAGGGAGTCATTCAGCATTCTTCAAACCGGCAAAAAAAACCTATTTCGTTTTTCTATTAACTATTGTTTCAAACTGCTTATTTAACCCACATCTCTGTTCGATCTTCTTTAAGATTGCTGACAAAAAACACATCTTAGCAACCCTTGTGATGGAAACAAGGATCACTTCGTGAAAATATTTTAAAATGAAAGAGCTTATAAAGTTACATAGCCTCCCATGCAGGCGTTTTTAGGGGAGCTTGTTTTTCATCCCTCCCCACAAACGCCTGCTCAACCGAAGATAACATTCCTTTCCCAGGCTTAGCCAATCACATTGTACTTTCCAAATTCTGGAAAGTTGACCTTGACTGCAAGGTAATCTGATAATTACTCGATCTGCATTAAACACTGGGAAAGCTTTCTGACCTCTAATAAATGTTAGATTCAGAGCGGCAAAAATAAGATTTAGTCAAAATTTAGAATAGTCCATGCACTGCATAACCTTAGCGAAGGAAAGAAAAGAAGGAAAACGGTAACTCTAGGGTCACGTTCAGTTGTGTTTAGCCTGTCAACACTTTATTGCAAAATTGTTGATTGGTCACTTACCACGCAAATAAAACAATGGGAAAGGAATGTTGTTTCCGGCTGTGCAGGCGTTTGTGGGGAGGGATGAAAAACGAGCTCCCCTAAAAACGCCTGCGTGGGAGGCTAAAAGTTACATGACCTTCCAAAGTTTCATCGTTGAACAATGTGTAGTCTTTAAGATATGATTTTTCAAAGGTTTCAATTGGTACCGATAAGAAAATAGGGTTTAGAGGTAATTATGACAACATGCATGATTCGTTCCAAGACAATGGAATGGTTTGATTTGTAGTTTTGTTAAAAAAATCTTATACAAACCGTTTTCGAGAATTAATAAATATCAATTGTAAGCACATTCTAAGTACATCGGCAATGTACATCCCTTATTATTGACGTTAGACCCCATGGACAGAGGTTCCTTATAAACTGTTACCGTGGCAATGCAAAAAAAAAAGCACAAAAGACATCTGAGATTGTGGCTCTTATGGATTTAAGGTCGGTACCCACTAGGCGACAAGTGGCTGCAACACGTCGCGGCGACAGATCACTCCGTGTGTACAGGTCGGCGACAGTTGCAGCAACAAAGTGAGGCGACACGTCGCAGCGACAAATCGCTTCGTTTGTACTGGAGAATTTTTGTGAAAATCTTTGTCTCCGCAGCAGAATTTTGTCGCTGCAACAAGTCGCAAAAAATCAAATCAGACTGAATCTGTGCGACTTGTTGCGGCGACAAATTCTGTTGCAGCGACAAAGATTTTCACAAAAACTCTCCGGTACACACGAAGCGACTTGTCGCTGCAACGTGTCGCCGCGACATGTTGCAGCAACTTGTCGCCTAGTGTGTACCGACCTTTACACGCGTTGGCCAAGTACTAACCCATTTGCCTGATTAAGTAAAAAGATATGATTTTTCAGTTTCACGGCACCTATACGAAAATTCTGAAATTTGATGCTTCAAAATAATCCCCACCCCCCTCAGAAATCGCAGCGTACCAAGTCACTGACCCCACAATTTGTAGATCCGAATGTCGAATAAGTAATCTATGGGTATTTGGCTAATCTGAATCTGTTGTCAAACCTTTAGTGTGGTGGGGGTGCTACGATGTTGTATTTTTTTTCGGCCTATGCTCCTCGACTAATAAACGAAAGTAAAAGAAAGCAAAAACTAAACATGACGAAAAAACGATAAACAAACCTCTCAATAGCCTGCGTAGCAAGCATTTCCGTTTGGTTTCGGAGCAAAGAAAGACCAGTTTTGGCGGGTTTTGGCCGCGCGAGAAATGAAACGAGAGCAGTCTTTGACTCTCGCCCGGGGAGGGTACTCCCTTAAGAGAGGCTAATGGGGATGTGCCGCTGGATGGGGTCGCATTTTCAAGACTGGATTGACTATAATGGGGTCCCATTTTCGATAGAGTTTACTAGAATGGGGTCGCACATTTTCTGGTTTTTGGGGTAAGATAGTTCTTCATACTAGCAGTTAGCAAACGTACAAGAATGTTTGTACTACAGGTACTACAGTGCTACAGCTACTACAGGTATTATTGCGTCTACTAGGGCACAGCCACTACAGCGCTAACAGTGGTGGGCGGTGGCCCGGGACATTTTGGGCAGTCTTACACCAAGTACTACCCGCAGACAGTCTGGTATGCGTGCGTCTCTGTGAAAAGGCTTGGTTACATAGTCTTCGTGTACTTGTGTTAGATGATATGGCAGGAAGGGATGGTGACTCTTCACAAAACCCACCAGGGTTCGTTGATTTAAATGATTTAGCTTGTAGCAGGGTAAGTGGATTTTATGCTCTCCTTGAAATCCGCTTTACCATCAGTTAATTAGCTAAAACACGAGAGTATAACCAAATTTTAGAGTGCTGATGTTGGCGAACCACCTAGGCGAACCTCACGTTATTTCGCTTGTAAGCGACCACCCAAAATGCAAAAGACTTAGTAGTGGCAAGAGAGCTAAGGGAGCGAATTCCCTAGACTTGTACATGGCCCTCTTCCCATAAAAATTATTTAAAATCTACTCTTGGTTCTATTTCATTTTGCCTGATTATTTTAAGCACGTCACATCACCTTATTGGTCGGTTAGATTGGTGTCATATAATTTTAAACTTGGCGGGTAATTCATTTGACTGCTAGCCTGTGTAACAGGCGCTTGGAAGTAGTGGGCACGTGAAAAAACGGATGTGCGAGAAGGAGTCACGCAAGGGGAGAGGGAGCGCCTGCCCGAAAGGCCCACGAAAATCGTTTCCCGCCCCCACCCTAATTACCTGGCAGCCGTTGCATGATCTGTCAAACGTTTTGACTGAAAACGACTGACCTTGCACAAACAAAGCGTGCTGCCAAAAAGTGTTGTACGTTTTATCTTCGGTCTAAATGTATCTGTTATAAAGATCAGCTGGGTTATCTGATTATAGAGGGATGGAGCAATAAACTGATTGTTAACACACAGCTTTAAATCGTTTTTAACCATTGGCACAGTGAATAGGAAATAACAAAGTCAAAACTGGGTATCTTTTAAAGAAAGCATGCTGTGTTTGTTCTCTGAGCTTACTTAGCCACAACTGTACAGACACCAACGATCACAGTGTACAAGGAAAATTAATGACCATTGTTTTTACTGTGCTAAGTGGCAGCCGTTTTTGGAGCAGACATGTCTTACTTAAAGCGGACCTAAACTTCAGAACACAAACAGTACCAACACGCTTTCTACTGCAGTAAGGAGACATAAACAACAGACCTCAGGTCGCCTCTGAACAGCGAATAATACAATAGTGAAATGTTTTTTTCAAATTCATGCCCCTGGTAAGTGTTTCATTTCATCAATCATGTCCAAGTTTTGATGGTATATGTTCCATTGACAACACAAGCCGCCAAGTTCTCCTGAGCAAAGAATATTCCCTCTGATCTTTATTGCAACGATTCGACAAATCTTTTGTCTCTCGCCACTTCTGCTAATGCGTATCTGATATTCCATCGGAATACCGTTTGAACACCCCAATTTTTCTTTGTGATTACAGCCACATAGTCGCATTAAACCAGACTGAAGTGACCTCCGAGACCTGAACTTCAATTGTATACAATGTAGTGGTTTCAGAAGCTAGTGGTGTAATATAAGATCTTCACTACGTTGTCTATGTACTATTGATTGACAATTTCTCACCCCGCGTGGTAACCTTTTTCCCTCTGGAGCCTCTCGACCAATTGGAAATATCCGCACTCACAGAATGCCACTTGAAACAATTTTCGGGGACCTTCCATGCAGGCGCTCCCTCACCCCTTGCGTGTCTCCCTCAAGCGCGCCCGTTCTCCCTTTCGCCCACTACTTCCAAGTGCCTGCTATGCAGGCTATTTGACTGCCAGTCATGCACAGCATGCCATAATGTGTGAACTTGCTATTACTTCCATTGACAAGTCAAGAGATTTTACATGGAAAAATCTCACCACAGTAGCTGCTGATGACCAAAATGGTCCTGGCTTATGGGAATTGCCCAATAAAATGGTTCTGATGACAATTAATTATAATTGTAATTATTGTGGTCATTGCTACATCAGTAGATAAACAACTTCAAGTATTAAGTTAAACGATTGTAAAAGACAACTGTCTCTTCTGGTGACTTCCATGCAAACCAGCGAGCTGTGATACCGTCGTTTGGATCTAAACATGGACACAAAACGAGAAAATATGTTCTAAGGGGGTTGAAACATGACATGTGCGACCACCAGACATTTAAATGTTTGTTTATTGTTTATTGTTGTTTATTGTTTTTTGTTTGCCAAAAATTAAACAAATCAACTAAAATCTAATTACCTTAACTCTCATGGCGAGGAAGCCCAAGAGAAGCCACCGGGCTTATAAGGAATGGGCTCCCTCAGTTAGATAATTACAACAAAATATTATCATAATTACACACGGGAAAATCAATGGCAGAGCTACAGTAAATCTTAAAATAAGTATATTAGATAGTCGTACTAATCATAGTTCTAGGCTAAAAAAAGCGAAATGACAAAAAGAAAAAAAAACAAAACAAAACAAAAGAAAATAAAAGAGCAAAGGAAGAAAAAAAAATACATATATATATATACATAAATTACTATTTATGATAAGAGGAATGCTTTCAGCTTACAGCAAAAGGAAACGGTACTTGTTGCATTTCGAATTTCAAAACTAAGAGAGTTAAAAAATTTAGGACCTTGGAAACTGATGGAGAACTTTCTTATATTAGTCCTGCATTGTGGTAAATAAAAATGCTCCGAACTTCTAGTGCCATAAGAATGCACCTGGCGTGTCACCAGAAACATGTTATTGAAGCAATAAGGAAGTAAGCCAGATCTGTATTGATACATAAATTTTCCTATTTGAAGTTTGTAGATACTCTCAAGATTCAGAATTTTTAAATTTTTAAATAAGGGGTCAGTGTGAGCATCGAAAGCAATCCTCGACATTATTCTTACGACCCGTTTTTGAAGTGTGATTAATCTTCTGAGGTTTGATAGGTAGGTTGATGCCCAGACGCTCACGCAGTAGAATAAGTATGGGTAGAAAAGGCTAAAATAAAGCATCGGTAAGGAGGAATTATTAAGGCAAAAACTTGATTTATAAATTATACCTATGGCTTTAGACACTTTCCTAGCAACATTATGTATATGTGATTTCCATGTTAAATGTTCATCCAAAATTACACCAAGAAAAGTAGCTTCCTTAACACGGTCAATCGAATAATTACTAATATTAAAAGCTAAATCAAGTGTTTGCCTGTTTTGTCTCGGTCTCAATATGATAAAATTAGATTTCTTAACATTAATAGATAGCTTATTTGTATAAAACCAACACGTTATCTTTTTCAATTCTAAATTTACAACTTCCATAAGATAGGAAGCATCAGTATGCGAATAGAAGATATTAGTGTCATCAGCAAATAGTATCAGCTCTAAGACCTTTGACACATTACATAGATCATTTATATATACTAAGAATAACAGGGGACCTAAGATAGATCCCTGAGGGACTCCGCAAGTGATATCTAATGATGAAGAGTTGTAACCATTATATTGCACAAATTGTTTTCGACAAGACAGATAACTTTTAAACCATTGTAAAGCAATACCACGTACTCCATAATGTTCTAATTTGTCGAGCAAAATTTCATGATTTACTGTATCAAAGGCCTTAGATAAGTCAATGAATAGGCCTAAAGTTACCCTTGTATTATCAAGTGCATTTGAGATCTTGTCATACAATTGGATTAAAGCATGTGCAGTAGAATAATTTTTCTGAATCCATACTGATTCCGGGACATATTGTTGACATATTTCTTCTTCATTAGATTTGAAGATGGAAGAAGTTTGGTTGAAGTTTGGTTGTTGGCTGCGAAACATGTCAAGTTCGCATGCAAACACAGACAAAAATACCTTCACAACATGCACACAAACTTAAAACAGATTTCAGATAATTGTCATGGTATATGGATTGGCTCTCATATCATTCTCTCTTGGTGGTGTTTGTTTACAAGAATTGAACCACAGGGGGTCTTTTCTGAGTAGAGTTCTTGACACATCTTCTTCTTGAAAGATACAGCTGTAACTCACTGCATGCAATTTTTTTTGGAAGATTTCTTTCCCTTCATAATGCACAACTTAATTTGTCACACTTGATCAGAATGGCAATCAATACTAAGCGACTGTTGCGATTTCGATTTCATTGGAAATACCCATACAAAGTCTCAATAATGAAGCTTATGTCTTAACACTCTTCCTTCTTTCGTAAACAGGTTGGAGGGAAAATTTTATTTGCTACCGATGACTGGTTTGCAGTAGCTGAAAATTTGCTTAAGGTAAGAATTTTATTTTAGGAGTGCTTTGTGGCAATGGTGTCAGCTCAGTCTTAATGAAAAAACTGTGAGAAATATTTGAGCAAGTGGCAAGGGACTGCAGGCCAAGCCGCACCATTTGACCCTTTAACAGTGCCCGATTAACAGCCCTGCATATTTTAATTTGCTAGCCAAGCCCTCCTGAGTGGCGTGAAGGAGTGTTTACATCTAATGGCAAATGGATGGATGGATGGGAAACAAGACGCAAGAGAATTCCTGGACATGACTGGTGTATAATCAAACTTGGGATACCTGGACTCATCAAAGGCCTTGATATTGATACTGCATACTTTACAGGCAACTTTCCTCCTAAAGCTTCCATTCAAGTTGCTTGTTTAGAGGAAGGTACTCAAATCAATAAATTGAATGATATTTGTATTTATCCATTTTCTTTTCTATATCACATTTCTTCTTTTTTCATTATTTTACCTAATAACAACTATTTTTAGAAGGACTAGTAACTTGCAGACTGAATGCAATGCAGGCATGTGGGAACAGCAGCAACATGATTTATATTCCCAAATGAGCTTACATGAAGCCTTCACAGCTGTAAAACTCTACTAACTACATGTCACAACTCTAGGCTGAAATTACTAAACAGGGCCAAATTTTAATACCTCTCTCACACTTAAATAAACACAACCACTGTCATTAAAAAAAAGACTTCTTAATGTGTGAACAACTAAACTTCCTGCTTAAATTCATCTTCTTTTGTTCTTTTTGGTGTAAAATTCTAGAACTTTCCAGGTAATCTAATATTAATAGTGACTATTATTATTTACCAGGCAATAGTTCCCATTGTTTTCCCTGTATGGAAATGAGTTGATCTGGTCCAAGTTTTGTATAAATAAATGGAAATTAAAAATTGTTGAAGAAACCTCTACAAAAATTACCTTTCAATAATTGGCCTTAGCTCTAAGATTTTCTGATTGAAATATCGTCTAACAGTAAAAGGTTCTGAGAGCTCCAATCTCATGTTTATGGATTTTATTATGCATTTCCACTTGCTACATGGGTGAAACTTGTTAACGTGTTTTTACATTTACGTCAGATCCACGGACAACTCTCTTCTGACAGGTCTTTAAATAATTGCATGACTTGGAACTTTACCACATTCATCTTTTTCTACTGATTGCGTTGAAATTCAAGATTCAGCCTCCATGAAACGTGGATTTAATTTGCAGGTGCGACTGAACTGTTAGAGTCACACCAGTCAGGGCCTCTGATAAATTGCAGAGGAAAAACTCAAATTTCGCGGGATTTTTAGGGACAAATTTGTGGAAAAAATCGGCCGATTTAGCGGTAATTTTGTGGGAGTTTTAAGGGCAAACTTCACCAAAAAGCAATCGGTAAAAAACGGCCGATTTTGTGGTTATTTTCAAGGCAAATTTTGCTAGAAATCAATCGGTTTTGCGTTGATCAGACCAGCGTTTTTAACGTTTTTCTGACAGAGGTCATCATTTGCTCTTTCAACAATATGCTCCAGAAATGAACCAATGGCAAAGGATGGCAAAGCAACATTTCGCAACATAATTTACGCCTGGTAGTTTCAGGATGTTGTTTGCACGTTTCAGTGACTAAGTTCTAAGATAAATTTGCAAGTTTATGGCAAGTAACAGCCCCAATAACTGAAATAAGTTTCAAATATGTTGTACAGACGTGTATTTGATAAGATTTCTACAGAATTTTGTGGCATTTTTCGTGTTTTTGTGAATTTCGCAGGATTTCACAGATTTAACTGAATTTCGCAGCTCTGTGACCATGCAAAATATCAGAAGCCCTGACACCTGTAAATAAAGCCCTCTGTCCACAAGATTTCAACTCAAACTCAAGAAAGCTAAGCCCATCTGATCCAGCTACATTGTAACTCTTACATTAGTTACTATGTGCATTTTTTTTATTTTCCGTTTTTTTACATGCATTAATTTGCATGCCATGACCTATTCCAGGTTGTTATAAATTTGAGTAGTTTTCAACTTTGTTGTTACTGATGAAGATGTGAGTCATATCAAAACATGCCTTGGTCATTAAACAAAATGAAAGGGAAGATGAAAGACAACGATTTGTTTGCTGATTTCTTGACTAAATAATGGCAAATTTCTTGAACAGGTCATGATGCATTTCCTGAGCGGAAAAGTGAGATGGGTGCCCATTCTACTGCTGACCAGATAATGGAAGTAGATAAATTAAGTAGGGTAGGTTGGTAATAATCATTTTAACTTTCATAAATTTAGAAAAGAAATTTAGGATATAGAAAATGAGCAAGTGACAAAAATTTGGAATTTGATGGCATTATCAAGGCCATGATTTTTTTGGATCCCCTAGGTGCTCATACCCCAGTTAAGGTTTTTGAGAGACATCTGAAGGTCATTTATTAGAAATTAAGATGTGATACATGGATGCAAACGGCTTAATATTCCATTGACTGCAGGGCTTGTACCAAGTTAAAAATATCATTCAAATATTATTTGTCCGGTACCTTCAAATACAATGATTCTGGTGCATGAACCCTGATGTCTGTTCCAATGTACGAATTGTAAACAACGGTTCTAGTTGCATTTTCACCCAGGATTTCAGATCAAAGTTCCGCAATATAGAGCGACTCATTACATACTGATGAAGTATATATGAAATAATTCATTTTGAACTGCGGTTGTAGATGAAAGTGAAGAATGATCAGCACAGTAAATTTTCTAATTTAAGCAATTGCTTGCTTTATTATGATCATTCTTCACTTTCATTACATACTGGTAACAACAGAACAGCATGGAAATTTTAATTTATTTCATTTTCAATATGATTGAATGTGACCGGTCAACATGACTGGCAAGAAGAAAGGTTGACTGGTCAACTCGCCAATCAATCCGGACGTTGTCTATTGACCAGCCATTATTTCGAGCCCTGGACTTTCTTCATAAACACTCACTTCATTAACCCACACAGAGCTCAAATACTAATCTTTTTCTCCGCATTTACTTGGCTTCTAAGCAAGGCAATTAAAAAGAGTTGAAGTTACATGTTCATGGGAATTTTCTAGTTAAGTACATGACTTTTTTAGCATTTTTCTATGGCAGGTTTGGCTTTTGTTGTGCTCATATTACTGGTTTATGGTTGGAAAGGCCTCTCCGATCTCCCTGTACAAATTAGATGTCAACATTTTTGAGACTATTCAAATTGATGACATCACAAGTGGTACAAGGGGCTTGGTTGTGAGCAGTTTGGATTCTTTTGCATGATGGCAAAACCCTGTTTTAATCAAACTATATGATATGTTTTATTTTTTCTTGCCTTAGCTGTGGACCAACATTTTGCCAATGACTGCACTTGCACCAGGCTACTCCTCAACACGTCATAATTATTTCTCTGTTATCAGCCCAAAGAGGTGGACACATCTTAGACTGAATATTTATCCAGGTACAACAAGATTTAATAGAAGGATAATGTTGGATAATTGACTGTGTCCCTCAAATTGATTTTAAAAACATTATCAAAGGAAATTGGACCACAGAAAGAGCTAGCTAGCACTTTAATGGTGTACTTAAAACAACTATTCTTCAGGACTTTAGGTGTGTCTTAAGGTGTGAAAAAAGTGGAGTCAAAACAATGCACTTTTATCAAATTAAGATGAAATACAATAGTCAGTTGGGAAATCTAAAGGGTTAAGTGTCTGTTTTCAGACACTGAACAAGTCTTGTGGTAGTAAAATTGAAGGTATTGTTTGGTTAAAACCAGAAATTTGATTTTAAATTACTCTTAAGTGAATTTAAAATAATAGATAATTATATACTTCTTAAAATTGCAAGGAACTTACTTAAGGTAGGATTGTTAAAGGTACAAAGAGGAGCTTTTCAGCTTAAAGTTAATTTACCAGTGTCTGATAGTTTAAGTATATATGCTGGAAACGTCCTGTTAGTTAAACGAATCAAACATTTATATGATCTTCTCTTTGTTGGAATGCTAGAAAGCAAAACATCAAGTACAAATATTCATCACCATTTTGTATTTTTTCCTTTAAATTTTTAGATGGGGGCATTGCCAGACTACGAGTATATGGCATTGCTCTCAAGGACTGGGCCCAAATCCTGTCTAAGAAGGTATTTAATGTAACTAAATGTAGAGGCAATTTCCATACCTTTGAATTATTAGAATATTTATCAGGGAAGCATACCAACTGCCTCCAAAAAATAATAATTATTTTTTGGAGGCAGTTGGTATGATAATAGAATACCTATTCCTTACAAGGTTTTATACAGCCAAACCAATCCACACACCACACCAACAACAGACAGCAGTGTGGTCTCTTATAGAGTGTTTTCACCCTGAAATCATCAAATTCTAAAATAAAAATAGCAAGGCCTTCTGAATTTTTATCTACACCAGGTTGGAGGTGACCAAGAAATAAATCTATGTAGAACTTCCCAGCCCCATAGTGTCTTTCATTTTGAAGATGCAGCATTTTGAATTTCAGTTCAAACTTTTTAAGCAGTAGAAAATGTGTATGGCCCTGTTAATAAGCTCACAAGGAAAACAAAAGTATTTTAGCACAAACCTGAAATACAAATGTTTGTGTTGATTTCCAGCCGCCATAATTATTGGTGTGCCATGTTGGTACACCAGCACCATACAAAGCTCTATAAAATTACGTGAAACTTTTCGTTAGATAGCTAAAAACAGGTGCAATGCACAGACCTGGGAGTTGGATACACGTACATTGTATGTTGTATATTTATGACTGTTATCTGCAGGTCAATCTGCAGTGTGATCTACGTATTCCACTTGTGTTTTCATTACATCACAAAAAGGAGCAGATGTCACTCTCTCGTCTTTTGAACATGACATGGCCATCTTTTTGCCAACAGCAATTTTTTTATAGCCTGCACCACAGTAAAACTAAATTTCTGGTTTAGCCTATCCACAAAACAGGGCCAAAATCCTTGCTCTGGGTCCCACATGTGTACCATGGTTTGAGGATATATGCACTATGATTGGCCTGTTAAAAATCCCATGGTGGATTTGCTAAATCAGGTTGAGGGGAAATTTGAAAAGCATTTCCAGTAATTCGTTGAGTTTGTTGGGGGCCTAGGACAATGACATCAGCGCTTTGCTTTGCAGATGTAACTAGCTACCCATGGTAACATTACATCTGCAGTGCAGACTACAAAATTAACGTCATTAAATTTATTTATTTGAGATGCCAGTGGACTTGGTTGCTATGGAAAATGGTGGAACAGCTGTTGGCTGGAGCAACATGCACTTCGGTCATCCTCGTAATCTACTGGCACCAGGAACAGCAGCTGACATGGGTGATGGCTGGGAAACTGCACGAAGGGTAATTAAGTTTAGCCGTGCATAATACAGGAAAGAAACATAATTTGAAAATTCTGGGTGACCGTTCATTCCACTGAATGGCAGAGCAGTCAGTGAATAAGCCCAAATATTAATTCCAGGACATAGACTGACACCTGTAGCCTTAAATTCATCCGATTGCTTCGAGTCATTTTCTCCTCCCAACAACATCTGAATCAACGGGCCGTTAATGCCGTCCAGTGATGTCACTCACTAGCCGAAAACCAGGTAGTGATTTTGATTAGTCGATTGTCTAAACATTTGCATAATTATGTATAATTATGAAAAATTTTAGCGGGATTGTCGCTTGATGTTCAGCAGATCGCATCCCTGGCATTCTTTTGTGTAGTTCAAACATTTCAATAAGCTTAATCTTTATCTTAAACAGCAAAATTGCCCTTGTCTTCAAAACTGAAATTCTAAATTGAACTGCGAATGAAGAATCATCGCGGAGAGTCAGTATGTTTTCATTTGGAGCCGCTTTGTGGTTTCGACGGCCAATGATTTTGTTTACATGAAGTTTTCTGTGATCAATATTATGATTTGACCTTCTTGCTATTTTTACCGTCAAGTGAAATGATTCTGTTAGCTTTTTTTCTTGTTTCCTTGTTTTTTTCTTCGTTAAGGACCAAATAACTTCTTTTCAATTACAGCAAATCATTGTGTTTTTAAACTTAATGTTCCGTGTGTGTGTTTATTTTATTGCATGATTGCAACCGAGTTTGATTATATAATTCAGTACAACTGGTTCAGAGTTGTACTGCATGCAGTTGATAGTTTGAACGTTAAACATGAACTATGATCGGAAAAAATAAAGCAATTTTGTATCATGCAGACATTTCCAAACGATATTTCTCGGTTTGCCACTTGAAGATTGTGTGTTACTTTTTGCATAAATCCAAGCAAAGGTCAAGGAGTAGTGACGTCACTGGACTGCATTGACGGCCGGTCGATTCAGACGTTATTGAGGGAGTAATAACGACTCAAAGTAATCGGATGAAATTAAGGCTATGATACCTGTAGTCAAAATCTTAAAGCAACAACTTTGAATGGAGGGAAGGAAGGGGGTGAGTGTCATAGTTCTTAATAGATGTGTTAACTTACCAGGTCTACTGGCAGTGATGTTTAGGAAAAAAGGCCTGTTTTTTGTCAGTGTGTCAACTTGTTTTGCAATTGGTTGTAGCTCTGCGGTAAAAAGGTAAACTCAGGTTTTATTAATCATGAATTATATATGATTTAACCATTGCTTTAGTTGGATCGACCCTGTATTCTTGAGCTGGGTCATGATGGATGCCTGAAGGTTCCAGGTGAGTTCATGAAAGCCACCATGTTGCTCTTGCTCTCTTACCTTTGTACAAAACATGGAGCTTTTAGGCAAGTGCTTTGAAACATGTTTTTCTTAATTATTGCTGTTATTATTTTTTCTTTATAAGATTTCTTTTTGTTTAAATTGTTTGTTAGTTTATGTCCTCTTTAAATCAGTGTGATACTTGCTCCACGTTTTCAAGTAGTGAGGGTATTAGTCAAATATTTGTTTGTTAGAAGTTCTAGATCCTGTGTAGTTGGAACCGGCAATTTGTTGCAAGTTGCATCAAAGTTGCATCAGGCAACTAAATTGTACAAAATTTTGATATCACTTACAATTGCTGGTTCTAACCTAGAAGTTCTAACTAAAACATAATACAACTTGGAACACCTCAAGAAATGGAAAACAAGTTGTTTTATAGCTGAAAGACAAGCTGCAAAAGCTAAGTGTAAATAATTTGTGTAAGATGTACTGAAGATCAAGCGAAAGACTAATTCTCACAATTAAGATAACAATAATGATATGTTGAATGAATTATATCAAAATAAATTATTTTATTATATAAACACCAATGAAATACCAGGTGAGCTTTTGTGCGAAAACTTGATATCTTCACATGTGAAAATAACATGTTATCTTCACATGTGAAAATATCACCGTTGCTATGGCTACATAATAAATCCTGCCTTTCACACCAAAAAACCAATTAAAGTGAAATGGTTTGGTATTTCATTGGTGTTTATATAATAAATAAAACATTACAGGGCCGGTTGGAGATACGAAATTCTCATGTTGAAAAACTGGAAGAGAAATTTCGTATCTCCATGCGGCCATGTAATATCCTCTATATCTCTTACTCTCTTTTTCTTGACAGGTTTTGAGTGGTCAGTTATAAAGTTAGGACACCCAGGAACTGTGCAAAATGTACGTTCTTTCTTATTAATACAGTCTTTTTTTTATAAGAACTTTTTATAAGAAAATTGAGCCTGAAATTTGTTAAAATATTAAGAACATGCTAAGAACATCCCCGAGTCACAGAGAAGAACTATAATGTTTATTTTTCACTGGTTTTACTTTCCTAAATCCAGAAAATCTGAATTACATAATGTCCCACATGGAATCGGAGTGCATGTAAGATTTTGTTCTTTTAACATTATTCCTATTGTGCATGGTCAATAACACAGTACATTTACATTGTACTTGCACAATTCATTAGCAATGGTAACAGCACTGAGTGGAGTCCAATTTGGTCTGTAATCATACGAGTGATTAACAAAATCACGCGGGAGTCCGATTTGTTTAATCACGAGTATGATTACAGACCGAATTGGGCGACACGAAGTTCTGTTACCAATTAATCATAACTTTAACAAAATTTGTGATATAATAGGCTATTTTTTAAATCAAAACACAAGAAATTGGAAATTTTGTTTTGCTAGCAGTGAAAAAAAAAAGCCATTTAAGCGCGCGCGTGATGGCGCGTACTGTCTAAGTACTTAGGCATGACGCGTACTGTCCTATTAAACTGTCCAATTAAGGCTGAAATCAGGGCAGTTGATAGCCAATCAGATTTGAGAATTTTGTTATAGTTATGATTAATATGAAAACAATATTAATAATGATTATCTTATCTTGTCTATATGTAGCTAAAACTTATCAGATTTCTTACTGAAATTTAAGAACATCTGTAGGAACATTTCAAGGCTCAAACTGCCAAGAAAATAACAACAGTCCAGGCCCAACTCGAAAAATGGACGTTCTTAGAAAAAAAGAGTGTTGGAATGTTATTTGCACATTTTAGGGGTTTTCTATCTTTGTCTACCCCTTTAAAGCCTTCTGAATTACAGTGTAAAGCTGGCCTCACAGTGCATCGGTCCTCTAAATGTTGAATATTACTTCATGAATTATCTTTAGCAACATTGCCTGATGGGCAGTGGCTAGTTGATAGCAGAATCTGTTTGAAAGTAAATTCAATAAATAATTGGAATCAGACGTTACCTAGTCCTCAACCTTCTTCTTGTTTTCCATGTTGGAAAATGAGAGGACCCTGGGGATGAGATTGCTCAGTACTAAAAATCACTTTTCAACAAGCACTTGACACATCAGTTTTCTGTGATTTGTTCTCACTATGTATGATCAGTATTTAAGAACTCAATTCAGCTTCTTGTATGTAGTGAACCAGATGATGAAATTCACCTGCACCAGTCAATATTGACGAGAGGAGAAAGAAACCGAATATGAATTAAAAAGCATTCTTTTATTCCCACTGTTTATTTAAAACCTAAACCTTCAGGAATTAATTTATTTTGTGAAGTAAACTCTTCCATTTCCATTGAATTTTAGATTGAAATTGATACGAACCATTTTAAAGGAAACTTTCCAGATTCATGTGTTATAGAAGGTAATACTACCTTATTTAAGAGCAGATAATAAGTCCTACATTCACAGTAGAAGGGCCACAAAGTTTAAGTTAGAGTGCGATAGTCAAATAAAAGAACCGTTTTTATGCGCATTTTGGTCTTTTGTATACACAGGTGGCCCAAGCGTAATATGAGAGTTTGTATGGGAAATAAAGAGTTTGAAACTTAGATAAAATAAATGGACTAAAAGCCATAAAAGTTATCAGTAAAGTGTAAATATTGTTACCTCGTGTCGTTGTGTTTGTTTTTACGAAGTTTCAGCGCGATTTGAGTACTTTTACATCATTTGACCTGACAGTGTAATAATAAGAGACAAGGTAGGGCAGAATCGCTCGATCGACCTTCAGAGCTGCTCAGAATCAGCTCCAAATTTCACGCGAAAAAACAAACACACTTACATTTTACACCGCCGAATCCACAAAGTGATGTCTTAAGATCACCTTCCTGTAATCCGTTCCGGTAAAACTTGCGTCTGAATCGCATAACTCGATCGAAAAGATCAACTACAGTTCAAAAATCCATTTAGGTAAAGACGCGAGAGAGAGACGCGAGAGAGAGAGAGCGAGGGAGAGACGCGAGACGGGCGTGTGAGACTCGCGCGCTTCGCGCGCGTAAGACTCTTACGCCACGCTTTACCTATTTCTTTACTGATTTTGAGAAAAAAACCGACTGTTTTGCAGTCTACCTCGGAGAGACTTTACATGACATATGCTCTACATTTGGAACCCAAACTAGCAAATACTCGACTTATTTCTGGTGACGAATATGCTTGAAATCATCTGAACTTCACGCATACTTCCTTTCTTTTGTGTGTTTATTTTATTAATTTTTATATCAGTTCAGCTAAACTACTGCTGAGGGATTATTTTCCCCTTATTAATTATTCTGGTTGTTCCTTCTAGGTGTCTTAATACCAAAGGACAAATACATGTTTGTTTCCAGTCAGGACTGGACTTTGTTCCCGTGGAAAACACTTTTACCCAGTGCAAAGGTACTTGCTTTGTTTATGCTTTGATTTTCTTAATTTACTTTTATTAGTGGTGGCTGAGTTATTAGATATAATATACTATCTAATGGTCTGTTCTGGTTCTCTTTTCAGTTGTCTCCACACAAACGTCATTTTTTCTCCAAACTTAAAGACTGTGGTGTAATTTCCCATGTACGACTGACTATTTATCCTGATGGTGGTGTTAGCCGATTGAGATGCTGGGGATTACCCACTGATCTTAATTACTGTAAATTGTGACATATGGATGACAATTTGTATATGGATTAAGTGCCTGACACCAATTTCCCATGGACAGCGCTGCTTTCAAGTCATGAGATCTACACACTGGCTATGTTATAACTAGTTCCTCCTGTCAGCTCGGAGATTTGAACGGTTAGAATACAAATGCCCTTGTTTGCCGACTTAAGGTTTGTTTGGGGACGGAACGTCCAAGGGGTTGGTTGAAGCTTTGTGTGTGAACCTTTCCACAATGGGTTATTGGCCAGGAACCCTGTCGTCGTAGAGTCAGACACTCGGCTAAACCTTCTATAAATGGTCTAGACAATGCGTGGGCCGGCTGCGCAGGTTATGTCATTGCGATATGTCTAATTCGGGTTGGTAACCTTACTGTAACTTTACCTCACAGATAAGGTTTTAATTTGGAGTTTATTTTGAACGTAGACATAAAAAGCGAGCTACATAAACTTTAGCTTTTTTTCTTAGTATAGTAAAGTTTAATAAAGATTGAATGGCCGTATCGATTATGAGCTTCAATCACTCAGAAAATTTTAATTTTTGAATGTTTTTAAATAGCAACAATTGTTTTTTTCTTCGTGAGTCAGAAATCAGAGACATTTCTAAATAATATTAACGTCGCTACAATCACGTGACGAGCTGTGTGAAAATGTTATCTTGTTTGGAACAGATAATTAATTTATGAACTAAAGAACGATGGTGCATTTTTAAATTTATTTACTGGCCATCAATTAAATAAGTGCACTTTAAATGTGAAAATTACAGAAATATGAAACTGTGAGAGGTGTCATTAATTAAGGTTAATAAAATCTTCAGAGCTTCATTAGGCTTAAGCTGTAACCCATCCTTGAAAACTTTCGTCGCGCCTTTTCTCCCGGCCCGACTGACTGCCCCTGGGTCTCCGAGGGTGGCTGTAACCCTTCCCTCAGAACTTAAGTTGGACACCCTTGAAGTTATAGACTGTTCGCCGGCAGTCCCCTATGTTTTCGTAAGATTGTCAGGATCGAGCGCTTACTGTTACGGAAGGGCGTCTTAACACTCGATCTCGACAATCTTACGGAAAAATAGGGGACTGTGAACAGTCTATTGAAGTTAAGTATAGCGGCTTCATGGATTTCGTTTGCAATGGTTTTGATACGAGCGGAACAAAAACCTCGTGATGTAAGAGGAGCACGGAATTTTAATCGTTTTGTGGAATTCTCATCTCTGTTGTATCTTTCCGTCTTTTCATTTAGAGCATTTCGAGAATACACCAGAATAAGTATTTCGCTCGAAAGGATCTCGGACGTTCGACCAAGTGCGTTTACTTATTTACCGCTTCAAGACCTCCTTTTTCCCGTTAACAGTGTACTAAGTGCTTTGGTTGTAATAACGCAGTTCCTCGTGTCTACCTCGTTTTCGTGTTTTTTTAACGTAAGTAGTATAGAAGGTCTGGTTAAAACTTGTTGTAGATTTGGTTAGAGGGTTTTTTAGAAAAATTCATGCACTGAAAATATCCTGCCCCCACCCCCACACCCGCTTCGTTCATTTCTAATGGTCCCTTCCTTATTTAATAGAAAATAATTATCTATTGCCAGAACTGCCGGAAGTTCCGGCAGGGATATAATCACACATGAGGGATGCTTTCAGAATTTTTAAAGAACTTTTCGGCATTTCTTCGCTTTATCTAAGGAGAAGAAAACAAACAAACAAACAACAAAAACAACTGAAAATGTAGTTATGATAAATGGACGCTCCAATGATGGTCACTAGAAGAGATGTGCTTGGCGCACACAAGAAAGTATTTCTGATGTAGCGGGCGTGACAGCCGGCGTGACATAAATGGATGTTCAAAGCCACACTTGGGTCAACTGACAGAAAATCTGTCATCTTGACCCTTCACAAATATAACTTCTCATCTTTGGCTTCACTGAAATAATAACAAACGGGAACTATAAGAGGGACTCCGGTTTACAATGCCCTTTGACAACCTACCAAAAGATGCAATTATGCCTCGCGCTCTCAAAGAACAGTGAAAACAGAAGAAATTTAGCGTATGTTTTCGATTATCAACGCGGGCCTTTTAAAAACCAGTATCAAAAGGGTGCCGCCCCAGGGAGGGTACTCCCAGACATTACCTATACGGGTATGTGCCGCCCAACGGAGTCGTGATTTTGAAACTCCTGATTTAGAACGGGGTAAAATATTTCGAACGCACGAAAGCTCCAGTTTTGTAAGCAGCCATATGAAATTATTCAAGGACAGATTGCTTTTAAAAATGCGGTTCAATGCGTTAACAAGCAAACTGTTGTACTATTTGCACCTTAGAACGGAGTATAAAAAATTGGCCCACTTCTAGAACGGGGTATCAATTTTAGGGGAGATTTTTTTTAGAACGGGGTGACAATTTGGAGTCCCGGGCGGCACATACCCACCCCAAAAATACCCAAGTGCCCCCCCCCCCCCGGGGGTGCCACCGGGTGATTGGCAAATAAATACAATTTGTAACTAACCATTTCCATCGTGTTCTTGTAGTAGTCAGGCCAGTAAAACCGTTCTTTGATTTTCCTAAGAGTATTATCGCGGCCGGCGTGTCCAGAAAAAGGAGCAGAGTGGCACTCAGTTCGAAGACCCCCGCTTTCTCTTCCTCGGTGATAACAAGTCGTCGAAGCGCTGTGCCATCCTTCTCCTTGGCCACGTAGAACAAGGACTCTAATTTTGAGTCATACTCGAACGTTTTGGCAAATTTTCGCAAAGTCGTTTTGTCTTGCCTTATAAAGCTTTCCGGATAAACCTTTTTAAGATACTGGAAAAGATTTTTTATATTTAGTGGAATCCATCTCTAAAACGTTTTCGATTTTCCCGCGAAATCCAGAATTTTTTTGGAGGCGGTGACCAAAACATTAGGGATTTGCGCATCCCGGGAGGGTACAGGGGGATGCCCAAAACGCTGCAGTAATATGAGACGGGGTTGCCCAAAACGCTAGGGATTTGGGAATGGGGATGCCCAAAACGCTTGAAAACGCGGGGATGCCCAAAACGCGGTGACACAGGGTGGATAAAGGTTATCCGCCTTGCTGTTTAGGTTCCTGGGGCCTGGGAGCCTGGGGCTTAGAACTGTGTTTTGAGTAGGCTTACATGAAGTGTAACCACAGTGTGTAACCTCGTTCAATTCAAATATGGAAAGAAAGAGAGGACGAAAGGTAACCTTAAAAAGTGGTTAAATACCCATAACCTTTTTGTCTTTACAATACGAGTGATACAGAAATCACTTTCTAGTTTATTTATCATCTGTACCGTATAAATTTGGAGTGGGATCCAAATTTAATGTGCCTTTATAAGATCAATCCCTAAACTCACTATTTTTCTAAATTGTAGGAGAGTTTAGAAGAGTTATCAGAGGATGAAGACTATGTACCATATGTTCCTCTGAAAGAGAGAAGAAGGCTAGAACTGGAAAAGCGAGAAAAGTACTTAAAAAGAAAAACAGAGCAACAACCAACCGTGGAAACTGTACGAAATGGTTCTCGAACAATTGGAGAGGAAGTTGTGAGTGATGACATTGAGAATAATAAATATTTACTTGCTTTTAATTTTGGTGGATAAGGCAGTCTGGCGATCAGTGTTACTTACAGTGTAATGACTCTCGCAAAGCGCCGAGAGCCGTAAGGCCAAGGGAGCGAGGTTATAATTTTGTTGTGCACACAGAGCGCAGATCACAGTTCACACATGGATCATAGTGATCTGCAATCTTTTGTGGCCCATATTTCTATATATTTTTTGGCTGTCCACAATGTACTGACATCACCAAGCAAGAAACATGGTCGGCATTGTTTTGACTGTTTTTGCAGCCGTTTTGGCAATCAGGAAATGCTTTTGTCAATTAATTTCCACGGGAAAAGTATTTTACAGAGGACAATGAAGCAATTTTGACCAGTTAGCTACAAAAGAAAATGGGAGCGAAAATCGAGATAAAAGAAAATTTCCCTGTGCTGGTGTCTCACTTCATAGACGATTTTACAGCCTTCGGCTAAAAGGATATGTTTGTTTTTCTGGAAGTGCATCTCACTTCGGCTTTTTACCATCAAACCTAGCTTTTCCCTGAAATGTGTAACTTTGAATTCATGTTACACTGAGGCAAACCCACAATGAATTGGTTCTTTCCACGCCGAGCAATGTGACTGATCGACCAAATCAAAGACTGGCCTGTTTCAGCTCTGCTCCATAAATCAATTTGATCGACCATCAAGCCCGAGAGTGCATTAACTCTGAAATAATGCAAAGTGCCTTTGAAATACTCATTTGAGGTGATTTTCCTTGAATGTATCTTTGAATTTATGATAAAATTACAGGCAGGTACAAAAGTCGGACCGGATCAACTCGGACCACCTGTCCGGGTCGGATCAACTCGGATCGACTCGGATCGAATAAAAAAAAAATAAAAATAAAATAAAAGTGGACTCGGATCAATAAAAAAAAATTAATTTGATTAGCAAAACTGAAAATTTAACCCATTTGGAGGGTAAAAAAGGCCAGATAATCCTTTTTTTTCCCCGTGGCTTTCAGCCGCCATTTTGTTTTACTAATGCCAGTTCCTCTCGGATCATGTTATGAACTCATGGTTGAGTTACACGACGCGCGTTCTGTTTCAAGGATAGAGATATGGATGACCTAGAGGAAGGTAAAATCTCAACCACTTGCTTCATTCCAAAGAAGCCGCCTAGAATGTATATATTTGCTTATTTTTTAGTGTACTGAATTATTTACGAGAAAAGCATCAAAGGCCTGGTCTGTTGATCGCATTTAGATAGTTACCGAAGAGTCAGACTGAAGAGTGTTCTCATTCCTGTTTGTTTTTTTCTGCAGGACTTCTGAAACTTGATTTTAATGATGTTGAATTTTAATGCAGCACACATACATTTCCAGTGAACATTTTCAACTTGGAAGGAGGAGAAACCATGCTCGCCCGGGGCAAAGGAAATTTTCATGCCCCGGGTGAGGATCGAACTCGTGACCCTCCGGTTCAGTTGTTAGAACATCCAATCTTTTAGTATTCGCAGGGTCGCGAGTTCGATTTTAGCCCGGTAGGGTACAAAAATTTTTGTTGTCCCGGGCGAGCATGGTTTCTCCTCCTTTCAAGTTGAAAATGTTCAGTGGAAGTGTGTGTGTGTGATGCTCACTACTGTATCATTAAAATTAATAAAAATGAAAATAAAATTATTTTATGCAACCACAAGTTCGTGAGAAAAAAACAAAATGGTGGGTGAAAGGTAAGTGACGCTGATTGATTTTATTTTTCTTTTTATGGTCCGAGTTGATCCGAGTCCAATTTTATTTTATTTTTATTTTTTTATTCGATCCGAGTCGATCTGAGTTGATCCGACCCGGACTGGCGGTCCGAGTTGATCCGGTCCGACTTTTGTACCTCCCTTAAAATTACAGCTTGACATGCTTCAAACTGTGTGTATGGCAGGGAAAAATGGTTTAAGACTATTAGTTTTACCTGATTGGTTATTCAGTGGCAGCATGGTCCAGCGGTCTGGCAGTTGGCTTCTTGCGCAGAAGGTAGTCATGGTGTAAGTTTAGTTTTAGTTTTTTTGGTTCATGTTTTTTCTGTTATTCCTTTACTATCACTGCTGACCTTTTACAGCTTTGCGTGAATTTTGCAATAACATATTTCTAGTATTTTTGTCGAAATTGGCATTATGCGTAGAATGCGCATGATTGCTTAGCAAGACAGAATCATGAGTTGAGTATATTGTATATATTATGTTCTTGGTAGCCATAGTTACCTAACAACAAACCATAAACAAACTCTAAAAGACACCATTCAGCGTGACCTCATGGTTCATTTTGGGTTTCCAGGCAACACAAGTGGTTAGAACCAGCTAGCCACCTGGGGCTAATTTTCTTCATCCTCACAGTGAAATTATGTTTACTGTTGGTGAATTGCAATGTTTTTCTGAGTCAAATAACAGAGAGCTACAACACAATAGTGCCAGATTCGACAAGTTGCAGGAAATCCTCGCCGTGGAAGATTTAACACCGAAGAACCGCGAAATGAACTTCAGCAAGAGCAAGGAAGAAGAAGATGAGCCCGAACATCGACTGGCCGTTAAGCCCTGCGAGTGAATAAAAAAATGGCTTTGAAATGCTTGTTTAAGCTAATTCTCCTCACATGTCGGCACGCAAAGAAAGTAGTGTCTGATAGCCACGGGCTAGTGGATTTTGCTATCGCGCTAGTGAATTCTGTTCTTAACTTGCCCGATGAGCAAGTTTTTTGAGGAATTCAAATTAAAGAAGAACTGTCAAATCAATTCTGCTCGCCAAAATTTTTGGGGGGGGCTAGTTGAAATGACGTTTTGGGCTAGTATATGCTAGCTTCAGCTTGCCCGAATGGCAAGCTTTAAAAATGACTTTCTTTGCACTCTAAATGTATCATGATAAATACAGCTCCACAATCTTCAAACAGTGTAAATGGCAGAGAAAAATGCTTTAAGATTATTAATTTTTATTTTATATCTAGAAATACATTTATTGTAACACCTCACAAAGCTGTGATGGGGCAGCAACCGGGCTGAAAATAACGGACAGCAGGTCACCGGTCATGATGACCGGCTAAATATTTTTTAGCCCAGACAAACCCCGATTCTAGCCTGCGAAAACATCCGTTTCTCCTCGCTCTTCGTCGCTGGGGACGTTTCGCGAGGAGGAACGTCTGCGACTCAGCAACAGAAATTCCATACTGATGACGCAAATCAGTGTTTACATAATAAATCCGGTAGTCATGGGGTTCCAAATGTAAATTTGTCTAATTTTGCGTGTCTTCTGGTCGATTTTTGGTAAAGTGCTGTGTTGATCTGCCCACGAGCTTCAGCAAAACTCAAATGCTTCTTCTAGAGAAGGCTATATTCCACAAATATTGACGGTTTTGTTAGAGATTCTTCGCGTTTACATTTGACCTTTGTGGCCTTTTGTCTTTCGTCTGTCATTCATAAACAATAGCTAAAACAATGTAACTGCTGCGTCGACCAATCAGCGCTTCTGACCGGATTCCGGACAGATTTTACGTCATCAGTATGGAATTTCTGTCGCTGAGTCGCAGACGTTCCTCCGCGCGAAACGTCCCCATCGGCGAAGAGCGAGGAGAAACGGATGTTTTCGCAGGCTACCCCGATTCTGGCCAGTCAAATAAATAATACTATAATTTTTTTTGCGAGGAATATCGAATTACACTGGCAGTAAATCATTTTGCTTCATTGACGATCACATTTTTGACAGCTAGTTTGTGAAAAATGCAGTCACTCGTTGTAGAGTTCCTTTCCGCGGTTTCAGGGAGGCAGCGTGGCCGAGTGGTCAGCGCGTCGGACTCGCAAGCCGGCGGTCCCGGGTTCGAGTCCCGCTCTGGCCACCTGCTGGATTTGTGCTCGGTCGCCCCGAGTTCAAATTCTCGGCCACGCTTGTAAATAGCCAACTGGATGCCTTCTGCCAGTTGGGTTTTTAATCCTGTTATGTTGTATTTGAATTATTTGTTTCTAAATATTTGAGTGGAGTGCCTGTAAATTAGCTGGACAAGCTAAGTGCAATTTCCACTATAAACAAGCCTTTAACCTTTTTTTTTTTTTAATGTCTTGAGTATTATCGTACAGCGGTGTCTGAAGTCTCTAAAGGTAAAAAGTGAAGCGTAAATCGTTTTCAAACTCTCGAGGTTCAGGAAATGAAATGCACATACAGTTCAACAAACTAAATGAATTACGAAAAAAAAATTGGGGTTATTAAAGAACAAAATCTGCACAAAGTTGTTTTGTGTTGACGTTGCGAAATGAACATCGTTGAAACTTGATCTTTTTCCTTGCCTGGCACGTGATGGAAAGCCTCCTCCACAAAGAAGAATCGTCACTAATATTTTTGGCAAAGAAGTTGATTTGCATTGGCGAAAAGTCTGTTCCACAAACAGCATGTTTATCAAGTCAATAAATATACAGAGAAGTTTCATTCGGGTCATCGCGCAACAAATGTCAACAGAAATTTGCACAAAGTTGTTTTCAAGAAGGAGAATTAAGCGCCAAGATAGACGACGTTCCTTCTCGATTAGCTTAAATTTTTATCAGACTATTCTGGAATCGAGTCTTCAAACGAGATTCATGCTCGACATAAAGAAATTATTATCAATGATGCGCTAACATTTATTCCCGGAGAAACACAGGACAACCCGTTGACAATTGCTATCGATTTGCCCGAATTCTGTGGAATTCCCAAAGCAGGTCACATTAATGATTGCAACAAAGCAGCAAGTACAGGTGTAGAGTACAACATGCAACGTTGCGTTACTCCACAACTCAGTTTCTTATTGTTTCGCTTTGTTGCATTTCATTATGACATGAAATTAATTTATTGCGGCGTCCTTTTTCTTAGAAGGTTTTAGTGCAAAGCAGCAAAAAACGTCAAAGAAAAACAAATCAATGCAGCGTTATAGAGCATTAAGCGACAACTGTATGGAAAGTAAATAATGTTCGTATCCAAAAATGACCGGCAAGATGAGAGTTTGACCAGTCAAGTCCGCAATCAGGCAGGGCATTGTCCGTTGACCGGCCGTTATTTTCAGCCCTGAGCAATATGAATAAACTGAAATGCGCCAATAGGTAAAAAATCATGTGGTAAAAAGAAAAAAACAAACAAACAAAAACAAAACAGCCAAAAACAAAGGAAAAGAACAAATTTTTTCGGCCAGGAGCTGAACCCCTGACCTACAATATGTAACGTCATCTTCTAGACAACTGCTAAATTATTATCTTTACATTTTTCCCCAATGAAATTTTTCTGGTAGATGCTGTTTAAAGCTGGTGAAGCCATGTTTATCAAAAAATCTATAATATATTTGAGGCAAATAAGCAGGGTTTTGACGGTAAAAGCTGTACTTTAACTTATTTCACCACATTTGAAGGACATATGGCTGACACTTAGTGATATTAAGTGTCTCGCAAACGGTTGCAAAGTCTCTTGCTGACAGTGTTGTACAGTTTGCAGTTCCCTGCATTTGCATGAGGAGAATCGGTGGCGATTCACCAACAGTAAAATTTTTTTTCACAGAAAATGAATAACAATGTCTGCTTTTCATGAATAAAACATTATAGTACATCCAGTGGGAGACTTGTTGCTAAGAAACCTCAATGCCACTTGAAATCATGTACAATCAATGACAGACTACCAACTGGAAATCAAGATTTATATTAAATATATATATAACACGGACTTGTGTTTCTATATGTACCTTGCTGTGCGATTCATGTGTGATGTGAATTTTGGCTAAATTATTAACTCACTTTGCGAGGAACAAAGATTTGTTCAGTGGCAGCATGGTCCAGTGGTCTTGGGAGCTTGCTTGTTGTGCAGGAGGTAGTCATGATGTAGGTTCAAACCTTGTCATGGCTATTTTCATTTTCTTTGTACATTTTTTTTCTGTTTCGTTTTGTTTTTCATTGTACTTGTCTCTTTGGCTTGTTTCCCTTTATTCTCACTGCAGGCCCTAAACAGCCTTGCGAGATTTTTGTGATAATGTATTTCTAGTAATAGGCCATTTTATAGTTGTGGGCTTTGTACCCTAGCCTGCGAGTGAATATGAGGTTGACCTTGTTTTGATACAAAACTCCTTTGCTTTGTTATGGAAATTTTCCTTGAAAAATACTAGTTAGCATAAGAACAACTTGATTTACATGATAAAGCTGGAAGGTTGGTTATTGTATCAAAACAAGGTCAACTCAAACCTTGCTTTCAACTATAATCGTAAAATGGCTTATTTATTATATTTGGTGATGTTATTAGAATCAAGAAAAGGAAGAGGAAGCTGCAGCTGGTTTAAAATCCAATGTTAGTTTGTTGGATCAACACACTGAGCTAAAAAAGATTGCTGAAGGTCAGTGTAAGAAGTGTATATTGAGGTGTGGCTCATGTAATGAAGCTACACCTAAATGGCAGCTAATTAATTTTTGTAAAACTCATGAGATACCATAATGTTATTATAATTATGTTGGAGGGGCCGGAGTGGGGAGAGATGCAAATTGTTTTGTTCTCTGAAGAACTTTTTTGACGATGGTATCTCAACTATTCTATGGCCAGTTGTAGACAAAATCCATCAGGAAATTTGGTAATTTTAATTTTCAGTGGACAAAAAACCTTGTACCAGAATAATATAAACAATATCGCATTCTTTTTTACTTTGTTGAAGGGCTATAGATATCATTATTTATTAATTATTTATCCAGTTCCAATTCCAGCTTTAGTCAGACCTGCAAATTTAATCCTTTGTCTTCTATCACTTTTGTTCTAAATTTCATTTTCAAAACTTATTACAACAAAGTTATAAGCTTGATCTTTCTTCTTATTTTTTTCAAGCCGAAAAAGAGACAGACTATGAAAAACAACTTAAAGAAGAGGAGAAGATCTTGGACAGCATAGCTGAGAAAAAAGGTTTGTATTAAGATGTTATTCAAACAGTGACACAGGCAGCAGCAAAAATCCATGTACTCCCATTAGGAGTTGGCCAGTTCAAATTCTCTACTTCTAAACTAGGTTCATGTGTCAAAAATCCTGCATACTGCTTGAAGACAAGGCTAAAAGGGTGCAAATAAACCGATATGAAAGTGATAACATTAAATCTAACAAACAGTACACCCATAATCATTCATGTGCTGATCACACAATATAGCTGTACAACTGTATGTGACATCTAAAGGGGTGACGATGGTCTTTGCGAGCGTTCGTGAGCATCTCGAGCACTGCGATTTTTTTGCGAGCACGAGCAGAAATAAAAAAATTGCTTTGCGAGCAGCGAGCAGTTTAGAGAGTACAACTCGCGAGCAGCAAGCCCTTCTTATATTTTCCACTTGCAGCAATCCATATGGAAATCCTTTTCCATATGGGGTTTTAATTTAGAGCGCATCAAGTTCTTTGAAGCGAGTTTGAGTGACACCTTATCGAGATCTAACCAATTACAGTCGCGTTTGATGCCAAAATGATGTCACATTTTCGCTTCACTTCATCACGCTGGTGTTCGTACGGTTTAGAAAGCAAAGGTCACAAGAAGAACAACCGTATATAACAAAAATAAATAACCATATATAGCTAGATTAGCTGATTTATTATTTATCGTTGTCATTTATCACGTGCATTTCCACTGAACTTGATCGCCATATTTATAGGAATCAAGCACCATACAGAATTACATTTACTTTAACCCAAAGAAGGATTTACAAAATTTCGAGCAATACTGACAAGAAAGCGAGGTTGCCAGCAACTGCAAACATTTTGGGAGCACGAGCAAGCGAGCACTCGTTTAAATTTTGCGAGCAAATTGAGCAAAGGTAAAATTTTGCGAGCAGTTAAAAATTTTAATGGACCATTCATCACCCCTATCTAACAAGCCATTACACAGGTAGGCTGCATCTTATAAGCTGTTAAATTATGATAATGTTCTGTTAATTCTCTCATGGCTTAAGGTGGAATGACCTTCCCAATCCCTGACTTGAACCACACTCCTCAGTAGAATTGATTTGGTACAGTGTGTACTGTATTTCAAAGTACATTTTTGTTTTTTTTTTCTAGAAGCATAAAAGAAAGAGTACGTGTATGTTCCCGTTTATTTGTTACAAGTCCAATTTGATTTCAGGTTAATGTTGATTTAACTTAGGTTGATTCTCAATTTTCTTAGTCTACTAGCCCTAATTCATGAATAATAAAGTTTAGGAGGCAAAGGAAACTGAAAATCAACCTAGGTTAAAAAAATTTAACCTGAAGTCAAATTTGACCTATAACATTATTATACATGTTTAGTGATAAATAAATTTCACTATTATTTTTTTCTATGGTAGTATTGATGGCTGTTGGTGAAATCGCAAAAGGAATTGTGTACACTGACTCTATAAAGACAGGGTATGTACATGTAAATTATACTTGACATACCTTGTTTCTCCTTCCTAATAATATTACAAAGAAGGAAATTTTTTGTTTGATAATATCATTGTGTGTTTATTACAATGTAGCTCACTTGCTTGGTAAACATTTAACTCCTTGCTAAACAGACCAAAAAATTAGACAAATATTTTGTTTTGGTAAATTCTATGTCATTACCAAGACATTCCGAAAAGTGTGATCGAAATACTTGCCTGCTCCCTCAGAAGAGGAGGCAGATGTACACAGGCTTTAAAGGTTTAACCGTAAAAGGGAAAGGTATTCTCACACTGTTTGCTTATTAGTTACAGCTACATTTATTTATTTTTACTTGTAATTTAGATGGCGTCCTCCAAGATATTTTCAGTCTTACCCTGCAGAGAAATTTAACAAGTTAAGGAAGAAATGGCATATCATAGTTGAGGGAGAGGACATACCACCACCAATCAAGACTTTCAAGGTCAGTATAAATGTTGAAAAACTTTTTTTACATTTGTGAAATTCTTTCGGTAAGTTCCTGGAATACTTCATTTATAATTATCATTAGTATGACTGTGCAACCTATCTTTTCCATTTAAAATGTCACAGGAGATGAAGTTTCCTCGAGCTGTTTTAAGCACACTGAAAAATAAAGGAATAACCCATCCAACACCAATACAGGTCCAAGGAATTCCCGCTGTGTAAGTTACAATAATTGTAACTTACTTATTATTTGTCATTTTTTTACGACAAGAATCTCAAAATGTGATTGCTGGTCACTGTCTCAGGTGTCTGGTTAAGCATATGACTATAAGATAGGAATCAGGATGACGTACCATGATAATAGTAGTAAATAAATATAATCTCAACTGTGCTATCAGTATTTAAATGTCACTGCCAAAATTGGACTGAAAAATATTTAGGCTTGTAAGGGGACCATGCAGCAGTGGTTCTAAAGTAAAAAGTACGAGCCACATTTGAGGAGTACAAGCCCGGGGGGGGCACTTTAGGAATTTCTGGGTGGGGATGTGCCGCTGGGACCCTGGAACCCTTAACCTATACCAGAGCTAGTTCAGCTGAATTTTGCTACCCTATACTAGAGTAAACTACCCAAATCCCCCTATCCTAGAGTAGCTGTTTCCCCAGTCTAGATAAAATCTTCAACCAAGTGATCAGTTTCCTGAAAAATCATACCCTATTCTAGACCCAAACACTCTGATTTATATACCCTATCCTAGAGTAAACTGCTTGAAAACCATACCCTTCACAGCAGCACATACCTATATAGCCCATATATGGCAGTACCCCGAGAGTTACAAGGAGGTTATTTTGGATGAAATGACTGAAAGTTACTCTTCCGAACACCATGCCAACCTTTTGTTTCAGTTATCTTCACAATTACCAAGACTAGGTAACCAGTCATGTGATATACAATGTAGCCTGCAAGTGCCTCAGGAATTTGAATTTCAGCATTTAAAAAAAATTGAAGCAAGAGGCTGATTGGAGGAGATTCAATTTAATCAGTATTGTCATCATCAATCATAATTCATGTCATGAAGAGGTCAATATTAAAAAATTTCCATTTGAATCAGTCAAATTACATTTTGAACATTATCAAGCTGTTGATGCTTTACTTAAGGATGCTTGACAGATGTTTTATTCACATTGACTTTCACTTTAGGAAATGCAATGCAGTTTGAGTTAGTCTTGACTGTTGACATTAATAGTTGATTTAACCTTAATTTTTTTTCACAAATAAATAATTATGGTATTTTATCTGCCAATAATGTTAGCTAATATGTTAATTCAATTTTCAGGCTTAGTGGAAGAGATATGATAGGTATTGCCTTCACAGGATCAGGAAAAACATTGGTTTTCACAATGCCCATAATTATGTTTAGCTTAGAACAGGTAAGATGGTAGAGCTCTTATGTTAAAAAGAGCTGGACTGCATCCACCCTTAGCAACCCTTTCAGGTAGGGTTAAGATAGCGAAACAAGCTCCTGAACAAAGAAAGAGCAAGAGCTGCTGTGGTGTAAAATTAAGTTACAGGTCAAATTTGATTTCAGGTTAGAATTTTATGCCCCAGGTTGATTCTCAATTTTCTTTGTCTTTGAGGGCTAGCGATAAAGGAAATAAAGGAGCAACCGAGGTTAAATCAAGTTTAACCTGAAATCAAAGTTGTCCTGTAATATATATATATATATATATATTCCTCTGTATGTGTGGTATAGTATGCTATTCTATACTTCTTAAGTTACGAAAGTTTCTCTCACGGTTGTCAAAGCATTAAACTCCTTTGTGATGTCAGCTGTACAGACACAGTTCTTTGGTTGTGGCCATCATGGATCTAAGCCATCCATATGCCATGTAGATAACAATAAATACTTCCCAGCAGCACAGGTGGCAGGAATTACAGCAAGCGGTTTATTAATAGCTTAGACCTCCTGAACGAGCTTCTTCTTCTTCGTTGTCACTGCTAACAGGATATTGTTTACACATAATACATGTATCTCCTCCTTCAACTTGCATGTAACTGATAAATGTGAAATCCACCCATATTAAATTTACTATTGCCACAGCTAGCTCTATTATTGTCTCTGTTATGAGGAGTATGTTGAACCTTCCAGAGAGAGTAGGTTAGAACTCATGCATGAACCTGAATGCCAGTACCGCACCAGTAATAAATTATTATTTTAGAAAATGTAGTGAAATTACATGTATTTAAAGTTATGACTTTTAGGATTTTTTGCACTATCATTATATGTATTTGTTCATGAAACTATGGGAACATAAGTAACACAAGATTGTAAAATATTTTATAGGAAAAAGCTCTACCTTTTCAGAAACAAGAAGGACCATATGGGCTTATTGTTGTTCCATCTGTAAGTAATATATTTTTCTTCTTGACTAGCACCTTATATTAATAACTAGACAATCCTTTTCTGTAAAGTTAGTTGTTCAAGCTTAGCTCAGACATTTAACTCATTTTGCCTCCTATAGGTAGACTCAAGTCTTTTCAGGAGTATTTCTTTATCGTTCTTGTCATACGTGTATTGCTCGAATATAGCTTCTGCAAATACCTCCAGCGTTACAGTGAAAGAAATTTAAGAGAAATCTGTGTTGCCTACATTCATTCGTAATTCTTTCAAATTAATCTAAGAAGTGATTCCAGATACTGAGAAGGGGAAGGGTTCATTGATCATTTGCTTGTTGGCTGTGACAAATCATGTACATATTAGAAGACCTCCTGGTCTGAACTTTTGAGGCCTAAGCCCTTCATGCAATATAAATATAGCTGTTGAGCATAATTGTCAGCAGCTTTCAGATACATGACCTGTAATCTTTATTATTTTTAAATCTTTTGTCAGAGAGAACTAGCGCGACAAACCTTTGAAGTTATTTCAGAATTTACCAGGGCTCTGCAACTGGATGGTTGGTTTTTTATTTATTTAAATTTGATGTAGTATAAGTTTATCCTTGGTCCAAAAATGTTATTTTCCTTTTTTTCAAACTAATTATCATGTGTACATATGTTGCCATTAATTTTTTATTTTAATTAGTTTTTGTTTTTCCCGTGGCTTTGTTTGAAATTCATTAGCATACATTAACCATACCCTAAAACAATGGAAAAATAAAATTTAACTGAGATAAAACATCAACTACAACATATGCATTATCCTACCAAAAAGCAAAGGAAAGGGGAACTTGAGTCAAGGCTAAAAATTAATTGTTTATGATATTAATGTTTAAATAATATTACTGTTGTGAACACCCTCTGAAAGATAAGACATTTTAATGTCATCATAGTAAGTGAACAGCTGGGAGAACATTTCTCTAGGTACTTCAGTTTTCCCCTTCTCAAAAACCAACATTTCCAAATTCCAATTTAATTTGTTAAGCCTCTCCAGTTATAAATCAGAGAAATTTTGAGGGCCACAGGTTTATCAGTTATCAAGACTGTCAAGTTTCACCCACTGTAAAATTAATAATGTATGTTTGTTTTCTTTCATAATTTTTGGTGCTGTTCTTTGCTGTTGTTGTTGCTGTTTTTTTTCAACTGTAGGAAAGTGCTAGTGGTTTACTTTTCTTACAACGTTATGAAAAGTACAGACAGACAGACCAGCAGTTGTTTGCTCATGACTGACGGTATCCTGTTGTGTTTAACACTGTTTCTTACACCATGTATTAAGTTCATCTGCGGTCATTTTTCAGGTTTCCCTGCTCTAAGATCAGTTCTCTGTATTGGAGGAACATCAGTCAAGGACCAAATGGAGACAATCAAAAGGTTAGTTGATAAAATATACCTGTAATAGCAGCTGCATCGCCATGATGTGCAACCTGAGCTCTCCTAATTGATACAGTGCACCGTACAATGTATTTCCAACTCATCAAATAATTTTCCCCAGCCAAACCACTCATGACTAAGAATCAAATTAAAGCACTTGGAAGTAAATACCAATATTAGTATTTTTTGTTGTCACAGTTTGCACAAGGTTCAGCTATATAACTAATAATGAGGTTGAGCATCATAGCAAGGATTATTATGGCAGAGCTTGTACCTGCCAATGCTAAATACCTAGCTGAGGCAGATAGCACAAACTGAAGTTTTGCTAATTCTTGCTATCATGCGAAAACTGAATTCGATAATATTATTATTTCATTGTTCACGGGCATTAAAAAATGGCTAATTTTGACCAAAACACATTAAGAAACAAACACTAAACAATACATCAACTTGCTACATTGTAACAACTTTTTAAAGTGTGCAACCCTTTGTCATCTTTTGATCAACCTCACACATTTTGCTTACAAAAGTTTCAAGTTTTGCCTTAAGATGCAACAGCTTTCTTGTTTCATAAAGTAGTTTTCGAACAGACTTTAACCCATTCGCTCCTGGAGATTTTGCCGAAAAACGCGTTTGGAAGCTAGTCGAGTGGTTTTCTGGTCACTGTCGTTCTATAAAGAGCTAGAACGTACCACAAACTGATTTACAGGTCGTACACTTGGCGGCCTTCTGATCCAGATGCAAAATATGAGCTTGCGAAGTTCGGGCATGCGCAGAAAGCAAAATTTCGAGGGTTTAAAAGTGACACAGCAGTCTTGACTTTTACTTTTCGCTTTCTCTCCTCCCTTCTTTTTTCGCTTTTCTAGCCTCATTTTTTTTTCTCTTGCTGGGCATTTAGTAGGCTTGATTTTGGTGGGAAGAGTTTTTAGGAAAGCTTTTAGGATCTTAGGATTAGGTGAAAGGAAAGGTAGGTGGGTAATGGAACAAGATTTTCATGGAGATTTTCAGGTCGATGTCACGTGGTTTTTTGCTTGTTTCTCCGGTGTCCTTGACTGAATTGTGCTCATTCTGGTATGGTTTGAAAGATCTCTTCATTCTGCACAAGTTAGCGAAGAAAGTTGTCCTTGACCGTTAAAACTGATGACGTCACAATGGGTAGAAAGGAGATGGATCCGCACGGATCCACATATTGTTCCTCATGAGTCTGAACAAAATGTGCCAGTATCCTTTTTGTGTTGCCGTTATGACATTTCTACTTATAAACTAGTACTAATATGTTCGTTTGGCCTGTCTGCGTCAATTACAGACAAAAGAACAGAACCAATGAAAACAGCTGAAAAGAAAAAACCCAGAAAACCAATAGACTAACAAGTTAACAGAACAGTACACACATCTAGTGACATAATATTGCATTTCTGCGTTGTTGTCATGTGACTTTATGATGATCTCCAGTCTTGACTTTACGATTTTTTGTTCACCCACACTGCACTGGAGTACTAATGCCGTCCTACCAACCTCAACATCATGTATAATGATAGCAATGGTAATAATCTGTTATGTCTTACTTCAACAGAGGTGTTCATATGATGGTCGCCACACCAGGCCGTTTAATGGACCTATTAGACAAAAAAATGGTTAATCTAGATATATGCAGGTAAACTGTACTTAGTTTAAGAAGTGTACTTTTTAATTGTTTTTTGTGGTTGTTGTTTTACTTTTGGACCTACATGTTGGTAAGAAAGCTATTTTCCTCAACGTTTTACTCAACAAATTGTTGTTGTCAGGATCGTCAAGAATAGTTTTGTCATGTCTGATAAAATGATATGTAAATATAATATTATCTTGCTTTAGATACCTAGTTTTAGACGAAGCTGATCGCATGATTGACATGGGCTTTGAGGAAGATGTCCGAACAATTTTTTCTTACTTTAAGGTAAAATTTAATTTGAAATAGACTTTAACCCATTCGCCCCTGAACCGCCCGTAACCGCCCGTGCGGATCCAGGTCCTTTCTACCCTTTGCGACGTCATCAGTTTTAACGGTCAAGCACAACTTTCTTCGCTAACTTGTGCAGAGTGAAGAGATCTTTCAAACCATACCAGAATGAGCACAATTCAGTCAAGGACACCGGAGAAAGATGCAAAAAACCACGTGACAAGGACCTGAAAATCTCCATGAAAATCTTGTTCCATTACCCACCTACCTTTCCTTTCACCTAATCCTAAGATCCTAAAAGCTTTCCTAAAAACTCTTCCCACCAAAATGAAGCCTACTAAATGCCCAGCAAGAGAAAAAAAAATGAGGCAAGAAAAGCGAAAAAAGAAGGGAGGAGAGAAAGCGAAAAGTAAAAGTCAAGACTGCTGTGTCACTTTTAAACCCACTTTTAAATCTCGAAATTTTGCTTTCTGCGCATGCCCGAACTTCGCAAGCTCATATTTTGCATCTGGATCAGAAGGCCGCCAAGTGTACGACCTGTAAACCGGTTTGTGGTAAGTTTTAGCTCTTTATAGCACGACAGTGACCAGAAAACCACTCGACTAGCTTCAAAACGCGTTTTTCGGCAAAATCTCCAGGAGCGAATGGGTTAAAGGCAAATTTATTCTTATAGTAATAAAAATTTGCCATTTCAGTCATTAAAATGATGTGCTGTTTTGCAGTAAGCCTTTCTTGGTCCTTTTTTTTCTTTTGCCATTAGATTGTAAAAATGATTTAAAATATTTTTGCTCATATGTAGTCCCAGCGTCAAACACTCCTCTTCAGTGCAACAATGCCCAAAAAGATACAGAATTTTGCCAAAAGTGCTCTGGTAAAGCCAGGTGAGTGGTTTTACTCTGTGCACTTTGTCTTTCAGATTTCATAGAGTTTACTGTGTGTGATAGAGTACATTTCATACATAACAACTTGAGAAAACGTCAACTACTGCAATATGACATGCATATATTAAGTTTAAGTTGTATCCTTGTTTTAAATTTCATTGTTTCTTTTTTCAGTCTCATCAGCTTTTCCCAGGCGTTCTGATAGTGGAGTGCGGATGAAAATAAAGCAAGCAAGAAAAAAAGTGGGGGGATTGAGGAGTGCGCTCTCCACAATTCCCCCCTGAATTTTATTTTTGCTCTCTTTATTTTTCATCTGCACTTCGCAAAAATGGGAGGGGAGGGGAAGGGAGAAAAGTGCGAAAGTGGCTCTCCCATTCCCACTCTCTTTTTCCCTTCCTCCCTATCCTCTACCCCTTTCAATGCCTGCTACGCAGGCTACTGCGCTTTTCTATCTGAATGCCTGCAACAGGCTACAGTCTTATTATCATGCATTACCACACCTTAAAGGAAAGAAAAGGGTAATAAAATTTGTTAGCCAAAAGTTCAATCAGAAGTTTGATGATTACCACTGGACTCCCCTTGCAGACATTCAGTTTACTGGACTGTCCCTCTTGTGTCAGTGTTACATGGTGTACACTGCCCTTGCACACGTAACACTCATAATGTTATAAAACTGACAGCAGTTGCTTAATTCTTGAAGTCCCATTAGTGACCAACATAAATATTCTTTTAACAACAATCAATAATCAAAAAAATATTGTTACCAGAATCATTCAAATGATCCCCAAAGAGAAAGTGCTTAGATCTTTTGACAAATTCTCTAATTCTTTAAGCTAATGTTAGGAAATCAATCTGGAGAATTTTTATTTGGATATTGGGCTTTGAAAGGTAAAGTCTTGTTATTTATTGTTGTGATTTTGTAGTAACTGTTAATGTGGGAAGAGCGGGAGCAGCAAGTCTTGATGTTATTCAGGTACATGGATCTTTGACATGATGTATTAATATTATTGTATTGATGTTATTTTTTTATTCAGAATATTTCTCAAATCTCCCGGAGGGTGTTATCTGCCAAGCTCAGTCATAACATCCTCCTTGATTGACTGCATTATTCTTTGAGATCATATGAAAGCCAAATCTAATAATTTCTTAGCTTGACACTCATAAGTTGCCTGTGATTAACTTGGACAAATACAAATTTTGTATCGTGTGCAGTGTGTCTAAACTTCCTTTTTTTCCCTTGACGTCAGAGAACTAGCTATTACAGTGTAGTACTTCAGCTAAATATTTTTAGCTTGTGTGGTGCAAGACTCTTTTTGTGTGAGGTGTAAGGCATGAATAGTACTTACTGTAAAAAATATCAGCAATTCAATGTTTGGAAAATGTTATCCAATGGTTTGAAATCCTTTATCGTGTATACTTAAAGTATTCAATAGTTACACTGAACATTAACTTTATTAGGAAGTCGAATACGTGAAACAGGAAGCCAAAGTTGTGTATCTATTGGAATGTTTACAGAAAACATCTCCTCCGGTAAGTATACTCAGTGTGTTTTGATTTTTGTTGTGCTTAGAAAGGCAAATAGTTGGTTCAATTATTTTGGAATACCGGTGGGCTGTGGTGATAGCTCTCATGAAGTACTAAGATCAACATAGTTGGACAGGAGTTATAAGTGCACATAAGAGAGCAAGTTCTTGTTGACTTAGTATTAACAGTTCTTATTGATTTTTCCGAATTGTCTTTTAGTCTTCACTGTGTCGATCGTTATAGCACAGGTCACCTAGGCTCGTACTTGTCATACACACACTTAGCCTCAGTCCGGTCAACTTATCGATGGATGAGATCGTGGATTAGATTCGGATATCGGATACTACCGAGTTTCCAAAAACGTTTGCTAACTTTAACTTTGATTGTCTGCAAGAATTGTTCTGATCGTTTTAAAAGATATATAAAACAGGAGAAGAATTGTTTAATGAAATATCCAGACACGGGGGAGGATTATAAAACTCTGCCAGTTGTTTTTGTCAACCAACTTCAATATTCTATGTTTAGATTTCAAATGAAACAATCTGTTCCGTGTTTGATATTTAACTTAAAGATACCGTAAAATTCTGAAAATAAGCCCCGGGGCTTATATTTTTCAAAGGCCCTTTTTGAGGGGCTTATTTTTGGAGGACCTTATATTCGGAGGGGCTTATCTACGGAGGGAAATTTGCGTTTCAAAATCGATTGGGCTAGCCTTGCAGTTGGAAGGAAATTTACAGTTTTTCCTTTGTTTTACTTTGCATTTGAGGGCAATTTCAGAGTACAAGCCCCCCCGGCGGGGGTGGGGGGGGGGCTTATATTTGGAGGGGCTTATTTTCGGAATTTTACGGTATGTTTTCATACAGGTGCTTATTTTTGCTGAGAAAAAAGCAGATGTAGATGACATTCATGAATACCTGCTGTTGAAAGGAGTAGAAGCTGTGGCTATACATGGTGATAAAGGTATCAGCAGCGTTTTTACGAGAAGTGTGAATATTACCTAGATGGGCATTAACAAAAGACCTGGTAAATGCTTTTAGCTGTGCGCATATCGAGATGCACTTTGGACGTTTGGAGAGCATTCTACAAGCTTAGCTATACCTCAAGCAGCGCTTAGGCCTCGTGCTGCACACGTATCGCTTTTGATCGTTTTCGCCCGAGTCTTTAAGTATCTGTTTCTTTTTTGGAAACGGACATTTTTTTTCAAAAGGAATTGACATTGATGAATAATTCTAACATAATTGCTCTCTTCATCTGAAATCAATGTTTGGTTGGCAAAGCTGTATCACCTTGAGCTCTTTTACGTAATCTAGTCATGAATGGTATGACTCAGAATCAACCAGTGTTTTGCTCGTGGAGTAGTTTAAGGCTGCGATTTTCTAAGCCTGAGGGAAAAAATGCCATATGGGTTATGTCTGAAATAAGTAACAGACTTAAACATTTAACCAGAAAGAAAAGATTAACTTAAGACACATAACAAGTCTTCATAAAATTCTAGACGGCAGTGACACATTCTTATTCCGCGCGAGATCAGATACTGTGACGTCTTTGTTTTAAAATTTTTTTATGTCCACACGATTACGGAAAACCGGCGTTTTAAAACATTTCCACTCGGGAGAGCGTTTTGAAAAATGTGCGTTTTCAGAGACCGTTTTCATCAGATACCTGTAAGAGACCAATTTGCAAAATAAGATAGTTTATGGCCTCGCTCTCCATGAGTTCTCCGTAGCTCAAGTGGATAGAGCGCCCGCCCGGTGTTTGGGAGGTCATAGGTTCGAATCCTGTTGGAGATTCAGATTTTTTCTTTGTCCAACGCTTGCTGATCATTTCATTTTCACATAAGATGGAATATTTCACAAGATTTTTCACAAGATACGATTACAGTGTACTTGTGAACCGGCCTTACGCTGCCTCTCGTGCTCTCCCGCCAAACTTGCCCAGGGCATCTACAACTCGATTTACGCACGTAAGAACCAATTTTTTTTATTTCATGTACGATTATCTCTAGTCAATCATTGCCGGGTACCCTGGGTCCATAACTGGGTAAGTAAGTAACGCTACTTCTGCTGCGTAGTTCTACGGCACAGCAGTGGTTTGAAATCACTTTGAAGTGGGATTTTTGGGGGCTGGCTATCTTTACTTGCGACTCATGAGTTACTCACTTGATCGAGATCATTGAGTCATCTGTAGAACACGCAGATGAGGTTACATGTTGTTCTACATTTTCATTACAGGGAGTCCTGCTACCGGGGATAACGATCTCTGCAAAACGTAACAAAAAAGGGGGAATAAAAAATCTAATGATTATAATTATATACATGATGCTATAGCTATTAATGTGAATACAGTAAACGTCTGATAGTTATTCAAGTAAGTGCTTTCTGAAAAAAATAGGGGTTTTACCATATCCAGAACATTGCTAGGCAATGAGTTCCATTCTTTAATTGTTTTACAATAAATTCAGTGCTGCACATCACATTCATATTAAAGTACGGAACGGGCAACAAAAAACTTGCAACTTGTTTTGCAACATTGCTGCAAAACGAGTTGAATAGCGATGTTGTGCGTTTTACCACCCACGTTTAAACCTGTTAACAACCTGATTTGTTGCAAGACAGGTTTGATGTTGGTGGTAAAACGCTCAACATCGCTATTCAAATTGTTTTGCAGCAATGTTAAAAAACAAGTTGCACTTCCTTTGTTGCCCGTTTTCCCGGACCTTTAGCTATAACCACTTTGAGATTGCTCAGTGCCTATAAGAGTGTTGTAAAACATTTTTGAGGCTTTTTTTGTAGATCAGGAAGAAAGAGAGTATGCAATGAGAAGCTTCAGAGAAGGGAAGAAAGATGTCATGGTAGCAACTGATGTAGCATCTAAAGGCCTTGATTTTCCGGACATTCAACATGTTATTAACTTCGACATGCCTGAAGATATTGAAAACTATGGTACAGACCGAGTTATTTTTTAAGTTGTTCCTGGCCATTGTTTATTTTCACTTTCTTTTTACCCATAAAATACTTTTGTGTCAATTTGAGTGCTGCACATTCATGTTGTTGTTGTTGTTGTGGTTGTTTTTTTTTTTTCATGTTTAGTTCATAGGATTGGTCGCACTGGTCGCTGTGGAAAGACTGGAGTTGCCACGACATTTATCAACAAATCTTGTGGTGCGTATTAATGCCAGGAGTTTACTCTCTTGGTTAGAAAATATGGTATCCTCTCACATTTTGCTGTCTGCTTGACGAGTACTTACATGTAACTGGCCACAATTAAAAGCCGAACTAAAGTAAAAGTGTTTCTACGTATTGCAGAGCTCAGATCATAGTCCAGCTATAGCTTAAGATGTAAGAGAGTTTTGTGTGTTTGTAACATTGTGGCTTCGGCAATTGCTTTCAAGTTTAATTATTTTTTTAGGAGATCAAAATGAGGCATTTACCTCGCCGTAGTTAATAGAAAATTTGGATTGAAATCTTTCTTTATTTCCAGATGAGTCAGTTCTATTAGATCTCAAGCATTTGCTGTTGGAAGCTAAACAGAAGATACCTCCAGTTCTTGCAGTGCTGCAGGCAGAAAATGAGGGGGACCTTGGCCATGGGGGTGCGTATAAGTTTACTATTGTATTCCTGTTCTAAGACAGCTCTTGCTAGGTTATCCAGACGGGGAAACGGTGGCTTGGTCATTTTCCTTGTCACAAAGGATAGTTGTTGGCTTCACACTAAACGTGAAACTAGTTTCAAGTAAGCACTTGAAAATCTTAAGCCGCTCTGTAAAAAACTTGGCTTTATACTTGTCGACAACGTACGTTACTTGAGGTACAAGCTGTCAATCCCATTTTATGGTACAATACCACCACTGAAGCTCCAACCATGAGGCCTTTGCGCTGAAAAGGAGTTTTTTGTAGTTTCACATTTATTTTTTCGTTACTGTAAACTCAAAGGTTTTTTCTGTGCCTAGCAGCGGCACAGAAAAAAACAAGTGACGTCTTCTTGATCAGCAACATGCTCTTCGGCAAAGGAATCGCCGCTGGGCTTGGGCTTGGCATCTTACGCAATGCTCTTTCATGGATCCGCTGTTGAATGTTTATCTGTCCGTTCATTAGAATCTTTGAACCGCTGCACGTGCACATTGCTTCCATTTCATATTGGTCAAATGTGTTTTCAAGTGTGGTGTAGACCATGCTTAGCGGGGAACTTCGGCTTCTTTGAAATACGATCGGTTCAAGTTTGATTTATCTTAACAGTGGTCTTTTGTTCTATTATTTCAGTGGAGCGAGGTTGTGCATATTGTGGTGGTCTTGGTCATAGAATTACCGAGTGTCCTAAGTTAGAGGCGATGCAAACCAAACAGGCTGGTAATATTGGACGAAGGGATTACTTAGCACCCGGCGCTGCAGATTGGTAAACACAACACAGGGACAGGATCAAAGCAGTACCTTTCTACTAGACCACGTCCCAAGCAGCCTTCCATACCAGTGTCAATTATGTGATAATAAATAATGAGGAAAGCTGGCGACTTGTCAAAACTTGTTCTATATCGGCAATAACTTTGAAATTTACGGCAGTTTCTTGGAAAAACGCGAGAGAGACAGAGCGAAACAAATGCGCCGTCACTGCATCATTTCCATTGTACCTTGACAACCACCAGGCTTACAATGAATTACTAAGCGAAAACTAGCTTTTTGATATAAAAAATACTCAGTTTAATTTATGTTTGAGTTGAGATCTAAAAAAAGATGTAATGTGTGTCCTGACGCAGTCAACAACGCTATTATAAACTCCCAACATTGTTTGGAGTTGTTGCGTCCGTTTGCACGTAGCAAAAAGTTTGGCCGGTTTCAAACTCCCAGCAAGACGTAACAACATGCAACAGGGTGTGCTCACGGACGCAACATGTAACATCCAACAATGGTTGGAGTTGTTGGCCAACAATGTTGCGCCCGTTTGTATGGGGCTTAATAAACTGAACTCTCTTGGACAAAAGCTCTCAACCAATAAGTGTGCTAGAAATGGCTTAGTTATTGTAAAAAGGGTAAAACCTACTTGTAAAACTGTATCAAGCTTTTAATCATTCAAGAAATTTTCAACTGTTTCTACCCCATTTTTATTTAGTCGACTTAACCAGTTTTCAAATGACCAGTATTGAATAATGTGTATGGCGGGGCCGTGGGGCAAGGTACGTTAATCCCGGCGTAGCTAATCGAACGAAACCGAAACAAAAACCAATCGAACCCAATAGTTCGATTGGAGTTCGATTGGTTCGGCAATCGAACATAATCGAACTGGAACTTTTTTGTGAGTTCGATTAAGTTCGATTACCGAACCCAATCGAACTCAATCGACGCGATTGGTTCGATTTTGTTCGGTAGAAAAACAAAATGGTATACAACATTGATAAGCATTAACTCTTCGTAGAATTGGAAGGAATTCACTCTTTAACTGAGTTTTAGCTAGAGGAGCAAGTTTATTTATTTTATTTATTTTATTATTTTGCCACACACAATGTGTGAGAGATATTAACACATTTCAATGAACTAAAATCTTTGTTTAGCTGATTCGAAATTGATTCATTCACAATATGAATATCGCTCGGGATAACACCAAAAGGGGATATTTTTAAAAGATTTATACCGTCGTCGCTAAAGCTTCGCTTAGATAACTAGAAAACGACCACTGCAACTGAATCTGGACGCACGCAACAGTGTACAGTATGAACAAAATAGTTACTACTAGCGCTAAAAGTGTCCTCATTTAATGAGGACACTTTGAGGTAATACCTCAAAGTATATTTCTATTAAAACTGCAAGTGGTGTTTGCAGAAGCTGCTGCAGAACACAAGCAATGTACGCTAGACTTTCGACTTTCGACTTTCGATGTCACAACAGTTCATTAAATGTTTCTGATTGTTGTGGTGTTCGATTATGTTCGATTGTTGGACCGTTCGATTGCGTTTGATTTACAAAATTTTTTTGTGAGTTCGATTAAGTTCGATTACCGAACCCAATCGAGCGATTGGGTTCGATTAGCTACGCCGGGGTTAATTCATCTTCGTTGCTTTTCATGAGCAACAATCACTTTTGATCTTGTGCTTATTTCGCCTGATATTCAGCTGCGAACCGTCACAAAACCGTATATGGCTTCCAGTGTATAGGTATATATACAGCTGTTTCGGGACTGTTGCCTTTCAAACTGTGGGAGACTCTAGCATAAAAAAGTACTTTACACTGAAGAGGTGCGACCATGACTATCTTTTAAGTTGTTTGTTCGACATTATTGGAATATTGTTGTATATTTCAATTGCTACAAGTCACATGGAGTCTGTTCAAAAAAGAGCTAAGGTCGTCACTAGCAGCACCAACAGAGCCGGCACTGCGGGTGATAAGACAATCCCAGCCCGCTCGGGTTATGCACATCTCATAAGTTTCTCATCCGTCTCGTCACAAACATCCCTTTTGTCCGTGAATATAATGAATTCCCTTTTCCCCAGTTCTTAAGACGTTGCTTAGAGTAATGCTTGCAGACCTTGCAGGGCATAGGGATTTCTCAGTCACGGATATTAATTTATAGGTCCAATCGATAAGTGAGATCTCTTGTTGCCGTCTTTCCTTAAACCTGGGGACGAGGTTGGTTGGTAGTGTGTTGCAGCTTTTGACCATGAATTCTAGATTTCGTACGGCTGTCGGTTTTGATTCAAAATCCTTAGAGTTTTTTTTAGTTCCAAGTAAGAGAGGATAGAGGGCTCTTTTATCCTCTCTTGTTCCAAGCTAACGATAGACAGCTGCATGTACGTGAGCCAAAGAGGGCGAGAGAATGCTTTTGGGCAAAGGCGGAGACTGAATAAGTCTACAGGGTGCAGTCAGTAGAGGCATACATTTCTGAAAGCAGAAACCTTTCCGGAGAAGTTGGGTGAGACAAATGACTTTATGTCAACTCACATTAAATCCAAGACAATTAGTACTAGTAATTGATCTCTGCGTGAAAACGTACCATATGATTGTACTATCAAAGGCTAACTGCGGACAACTTACGCTGCATAAACAAGACAAGACAGTATTGTACTGTGGCTATATGGCCGGTAACCGGTCAAGGTTTTCAAAATACTAAATGGCCGGCAGTTCTATATTCTCAGTAAATTTCACAAAATCGAAAGATTCCAGCTAATCTCAACTTCAACTTCAACTTCAACTTCAACTTTATTTCATAAGACTATTGGTTACAATAGACTGGCCCGCAAAATAGCAATTGCTAATCTAGGCGGACCAGTTAAAAGAAAAATAAATTGAAAGGAAAAGAAAGGAAAGGAAAAGGAAGGAAAACTACAATTTGAAGTTACAATAAATAATATTCTATCACAGTTTTATTTTAATTACATTAAATCTGAACAAGCAAACAAACAAATACTTTAATACAGACATCACTAAACTATTAATCGAACTTTTTCAACTATTAAGGGCGTCTCAATATAGTCATCTTCTCTTTTTAAGATATCCGAAAGCAATCTGTGAAGTACTTTCCTAAATTTCTTTTTAGGAAGATCTCTAATATGACAAGGCATCTCATTCCAAAGTTTTACACCAAAGCGAGACAAGGAGTTTTTGTGTATTTCCAGCTTTTGACGTGAAAGTTACCTGAACTAGATGATCTTGTATAGTATGAATGAATTGTTGAGGTTTTTTCAAATAAATTGAGCAGATTTGTTGGCGAATTGTTGTTGTTAATATCGTGCATTAGATTAGCCACAGTTTTATAATACATAAATGACACTGGTAATATGTCAGCGTCGATAAATAGAGGAATTGCATGTTCACGTATATCCGTAAAATACATCATGCGAAGCACTTTCTTCTGGAGAATTAAAATTTTATTGAGGGACGTCTTGGATGCCTGACCCCAGGCAGCAAAACCATAGTTTAGGTGAGGGTGGATTAATGTTTGGTAAATATATAACAGTATATGACAGGGTATGGAGTGCCGAAGTTTTGAAATTAGTCCAACGGTTTTACTGATTTTTGTCGTAATGGCGTCAATGTGATATTTCCAAGTAAGATTTTTATCAATCAACACACCAAGATATTTAATATAATTTTTGGACTCTAGAGTTACATTTCCATTTTTTTCGTTATCGAACATGTAGAGGCTAGGTTGGTAAGTGACTTAGTTTTGGTTAGTTTTTGTAGTATTGAGAGTTAACTTATTGGATGTTAACCATTCGTGGAGGTTTTGTAATTCGATATTTACTATACTTTCTAGGGACTTTAAGTTTTTATCGGCATAAAGGATATTAGTATGATCTGCGAAGAGATAAAACTTAAGTTTATTCGACCTTTGATGTACGTCATTAACATACAATAAAAAAAGCAACGGGCCGAGCACAGATCCTTGGGGAATACCATAACTTACGTTGGCTTTGTTTGAAATGTATGGTCCGATTTGTTTGTTCAGAACGGCTGAATTTTTTCGATTTGTGAAATTTACGGACAATATAGGACTGCCGGCCATTTAGTGTTTTGAAAACCTTGACCGGCAGTCGAGCTGAAAAAATTTCTAAGTGTCACAAAACATGATTTCCTCCTCTGAGCCGAGCGCAAACCAAACACTAGCCTTGAGATCCGTAAAGCATTTCAGGATCGCTTGACTTTTCTAAATCGACATATGATAGTTAAGATTAGCTAGAATCTTTCTATTTTGTGAAATTTACGGATAATATAGGACTGCCGGCCATTTAGTGTTTTGAAAACCTTGACCGGCAGTCGAGCTGAAAAAATTTCTAAGTGTCACAAAACATGATTTCCTCCTCTGAGCCGAGCGCAAGCCAAACATAACATAACATAAAACTTTATTTATCCGTAAAAGCAATATCTTCGAGGATCATAAAAACTATATAGAAAATTTATATACATTAAATCGACATTTATGATTTTAAGTTTAAGATGGGCATCCTGTATTTTAGTCTTAAACACTAGCCTTGAGATCCGTAAAGCATTTCAGGATCGCTTGACTTTTCTAAATCGACATATGATAGCTAAGATGGGCTCCTGATTAGCTAGAATCTTTCTATTTTGTGAAATTTACGGATAATATAGGACTGCCGGCCATTTAGTGTTTTGAAAACCTTGACCGGTTACCGGCCATATCGGGCCACAGCGAATAACATTTTATTTGGAGCTTTATACCACCTGGTACATCGACTGTTTTCCAAATAATTTAGAATTACAATCTTCTATATTAAGCTATTTCAGTTAATATATTGGCTTTAGTTTTTGAGACGAGGACGACTAGTCTACGAGTACGTAGCCTGTGCCAGGCTCTCAGATAATATAGTGGGAACTTATTAAAACGAGCAAAGCGAAAATAGGGAACTTAAGAACCACGACAACGACTTTGTCGACGACGACCGGAAGTGAGATACCGTGCACTGCGCAAGCCCGGTTTACAAATTTCGTCGTCGTGGTGTCGTCGACGACGCCAAACACAGTAGAGTCACGTCGTCCTGCAGTCCACAAGCTTCGGCAGCTATAACTCCCTGTTTTTAAGCGATTTTTCAAGGGCTTTGTATTTTTTCACCTCGTAAATCCAGGTATCCTTTCTGTTTTCTGCTAACAAGGGATGTTGATTGAAAATTTGACCGATGAATTGTGTTTACTTCGAAGACAACACTGAGCTGTGCAGGCCAGCGAGCGAACTCGTAAGTGACAAATTTATTTGTACGTATTTAGGTCAGGCAAATCATATATCTTTAATATAGAGGAAATGAACTTTATATGGAAAACAGCTATCGCATCAGAATGTCTCTTTTTCCAAATCTAAACTCTGACAGACACTCGGACTCGGTCATGTCATTCAGGTTGAAAGTTGAATAACCTTCGTACGGGAAGCAGAGATTTTTCCATTCGAAAAGGTCAGACAACACTAAAAATTCTTCATCGTCAAAGAAAGTAGACGTACGGCTTATAAAATAAGATCTTGCATCGTCTTAAAAG